CAGTAAGTCAGGCCCGCAGGGAGCTGTGGATACACGTAGTCTTGATCCACATGGGCCCAGGAGTTAACCTTGGGCTTGAACCACGGCTCTGGCTGGGACCTCGGGGGTACCAGGGCTCCTGGGCTTTCCTTACTTCTTGCCCAGCTGGATCCACTCTTGCTTGCGAAAAGCTGACAAAAACAAGGACAACAAGATGAGCTTCAAAGAGCTGCAGAACTTCCTGAAGGAGCTCAACATGCAGGTGGACGACAGCTATGCCCGGAAGATCTTCAGGGTGAGGCAGGAAGTGAGGGCTGGGTCTGCGCGGCACTAGGTCCTTGGCCTGCTCTGAGCCTTGCCCACCTGGCTGTCCTGGCTTTGCAGGAATGTGACCGCTCCCAGACGGACTCCCTGGAGGATGAAGAGATTGAGACCTTCTACAAGATGCTGACCCAGCGGGAAGAGATTGACCACACCTTCGCCGAGGCTGCGGGCTCCAGGGAGACCCTGTCAGTGGATCAGTTGGTGACATTCCTGCAGCACCAGCAGCGGGAGGAGGCGGCGGGGCCTGCACTGGCCCTCTCCCTCATTGAGCGCTACGAGCCCAGTGAGACTGGTGAGGGCCTGGCCAGGGCCTGTGACCTGCAGTCCCAGGGCCCCACTAGGCTGGGAGACCCTGGGAGACTGAAGCCCGAGAGTAGGGAGCTGGAGGGAAGGGGGGGGCGCCTCAGAGCCGTGATCAGTGTTTGCCTGTCCCGTGACAGCAGGCAGATGGGAGACAGGGCTCCAGCATCACTACCCCTCTCTTGGTTCCTCCTGCAGGGGGTTTTGAGGACACCTCCTCCAGGAAATAGAGAGAGAGAGGAGGCTGGAGAAGCAGATGCTTTTCCGGCTTCTTTATTTGTGCCCATCCCGGGCTCAGCTTTGGGACGTAAGACGGGGCCCTGTTCTGGAAGGGGCTCCAGTGTGGAGGCACAGAGAAGGATGCGATGAGGCCCTGCCATCAAGGGGCCTCACAGTGTGGGGACAGAGGAGGAGGTGACAGGGACGCGCCCTGGGGTAGTCAAAGTCTGGTAAGGAGACTCAAACTTACCCCCTTGCGAGAGCTGTCAAGGACCAGCTCAGGACAGGGAGGCAGGGGGAGTGGAGGCTCCTCCTCCCAGAGCGGTGGCGCAGTGAAGGTCCCCTGGAGGTGGCTGGCTGGCTGAGGGCTCTGACTGGCACCGGCCTCCCCCTCCCAGCCAAGGCGCAGCGGCAGATGACCAAGGACGGCTTCCTCATGTACCTGCTCTCGGCCGACGGCAGCGCCTTCAGCCTGGCGCACCGGCGGGTCTACCAGGACATGGGCCACCCGCTCAGCCACTACCTGGTGTCCTCCTCACACAACACCTACCTGCTGGAAGACCAGCTCACCGGGCCCAGCAGCACCGAGGCCTACATTCGGTGGGGCCCTAGGCCGGGTCAGGGGGGCTTCTGGGGGCGGGGCTTCTGGGGGCGGGGCTCCGGGCAGGCCGGGGCGGGACCCGAGGGGCCTAGCCACCACCCCTACCCGCAGGGCGCTATGCAAAGGCTGCCGCTGCCTGGAGCTCGACTGCTGGGACGGGCCCAACCTCGAGCCGGTCATCTACCATGGCTACACTTTCACCTCCAAGATCCTCTTCTGCGACGTGCTCAGGGCCATCCGGGACTACGCCTTCAAGGTGGGCGCACCCCTGGTGGGGAGAGGAGGAGGCTGCTAGGGGCGGCCAACTCCTCCTAACCTGCCCTTGGGCCTCCAGGCGTCCCCCTACCCCGTCATCCTGTCCCTGGAGAATCACTGCAGCCTCCAGCAGCAGCGGGTGATGGCGCAACACCTGCGCACCATCCTGGGCTCCATGCTGTTGGACCGGCCGCTCGACGGGGACACCACCAGCCTGCCTTCCCCTGAGGTGTGCGGTGGGGATGGGGGTGTCCAGAGGAGAGGGCAGGTGGACGGGCTGGGAGGCCAGCTTGGTCTTGACCAGCTGCCCCTCCATCCCTAGCAACTGAAGGGGAAGATCTTGCTGAAGGGGAAGAAGCTTGGGGGGCTCCTGCCCCCCGGAGGGGAAGGCGGCCCTGAGGCCACTGTGTCAGACGAGGATGAGGCTGCGGAGATAGAGGATGAGGCAGTGAGGAGCCGAGTGCAGCACAAGCCCAAGGTTCAAGGGGGAGCAGTGGGGGGGGCAGCCCTGGGGCCCCCCATCATCATCATCCTGCATCACCTCGTGGGATATTGGCTGTATCTCAGTTCTCTGTGGCTGCCACTCAGACCCTCTGCCCCCCTCTCTCTGTCTGTCTCCCTATCTCTGTCTCTCTGTGTCTGGGTTTCTGGCTCTCTCAGTGCCTACCTGCCCCAACCTCTGACTCTAACTCGGGCCTCCCCATGGCCCCCAGGAGGACAAGCTCAGGCTAGTGCAGGAGCTCTCCGATATGGTCATTTACTGCAAAAGCGTCCACTTTGCGGGCTTCTCCAACCCTGGCACCCCAGGGCAGGCTTTCTATGAGATGGCGTCCTTCTCTGAGAACCGCGCCCTCCGACTGCTCCAAGAGTCAGGTGAGCTGATCGGCACCCTGAGGGTGCTGTCTGTCTGTCTGACCATCTGGGCTGGCCAGGGCCAGGCCTGACTCCCATCACCCAGCGTTGGGACTCCCTGCTGTTACCAGACAGAGCTGGTGGGGAGGGGCTTGGGGTCTCCAGGAGGCCACCACATCTGACCAACTCACACCCCCCTCAGGAAACAGCTTTGTCCGCCACAACGTGGGTCACCTGAGCAGGATCTACCCAGCTGGGTGGAGAACGGACTCTTCCAACTACAGCCCCGTGGAGATGTGGAATGGGGGCTGCCAGATCGGTATGGGTTGGCTGGGGCTGGGAGGAGGCCTGGATGAAGGTTTCAGTCCAGAGGGCCAGGGGCCAGGAGCCTATGGGAACCCAAGCAGGGCTAGACACAGAGATTTGTGGGCTCAGGAGCTGGTAATCTCTGTTTGGAAATATCCCCCCACTAGCAAGTCACAATTCTGAAACCCCATTATTAGCATACTAGTCCTTTGAATTCTGGCACCAGAAATGGAACTTGAGGTTGGTGTGTTGGGTCAGTTAGGGTGGCAGGAGGGCAGTAGGCATCGGAGTGATCCTGGACCCTGCTTCTACCTCCCTGTGTGACTCTAGGCCTCAGTATACCCTGAGCAGGCTGGGCTCTAAGGCCCCCGAGGCCAGCCCACAGCCTGTGACTGCTCTGTCCTGCCTGTAGTGGCCCTGAACTTCCAGACACCTGGGCCAGAGATGGACGTGTACCAGGGCCGCTTCCAGGACAACGGGGCCTGTGGGTATGTACTGAAGCCTGCCTTCCTGCGAGACCTCAACTCCACCTTCAACTCACGTTCCCTGGCTCAGGGGCCCTGGTGGACTCGGAAGAGGCTCAATGTCAGGGTATGGCTAGCTACAGGAGGGACAGGTACCCATGGGCCTCCCTTCCCCCTCACTACCATTCCTGAACCCTTAATTGTCCCCTACTTTTCCTCAGGTCATCTCAGGGCAGCAGTTGCCAAAAGTCAACAAGAATAAGAATTCAATTGTGGACCCCAAGGTGACAGTGGAGATCCACGGTGTGGGCCGAGACATGGCCAGCCGCCAGACCGCTGTAGTCACCAATAATGGTACGTGCTGGGCCTTGGCTGGGCCCAGCTACTGGAGCTGGTGTCCATGCTGTTGACATGGTGCCTGTACCCCTAGGTTTCAACCCGTGGTGGGACACGGAGTTTGAGTTTGAGGTGGTTGTGCCTGAGCTTGCCCTCGTGCGCTTCGTGGTGGAGGATTATGATGCATCCTCCAAGAATGACTTCATTGGCCAGAGCACCATCCCTCTGAGCAGTCTCAAGCAGGGTAAGAGTTTGTCAAGGGGAGGGCCCAAGGTGGGGGAGGCAGGGCCTGGCATCTCTTGGGCTGGGTCCGGCTGTCCCTTGAAGCATCCTCCCTGAGTGACCGGAACTCTCCCTTTGTGCCTGCCAGGATACCGCCACGTCCACCTCTTGTCCAAGAATGGAGACCAGCACCCATCTGCCACCCTTTTTGTGAAGGTGTCCCTCCAGGACTAGGCTTGGGGGGTCTGGTGGGATCTGCCCCAAGTGGGCCAGGCCCTCAGTCCACGTCTAGGGGCAGGGCAGGTATGGCTCTCCCAGCCTCTCCCTCAGAGCTAGAGGTGCCACCCTGCCTTCAGCTCCAACATCTTGTCTGTGCTGCTGCCTCTTTGGGGTCCCAGGAGCCAGTCCAGTCCCTGGAGCTGTCCTCAATTCCGTCAGGAACAACACTGCAACCCTCTCCGCCCTCTGGCCAGCCCTAGATTGAGGGTGTTTTTTTGTTTTTTGTTTTTGAGGAAGCTTGGCCTTGCGCTAACATCTCTTCCAAACTTCCTCTTTTTCTTTTTTCTCTCCAAAGCTCCAGTGCATAGTTGTGTATCATAGTTGTAGAGTTACAGCTCTTCTATATGAGACGCCACGTCAGCATGGCTTGATGAGCAGTCAGTAGGTCCGTGCCCAGGATCCGAACCCTAGGCCACCAAAGTGGAATGCGCGAACTTAACTGCTATGCCACCGGGCTGGCCCCTAGGTTGAGGGTTTTTATAAAAACCTTAAGATTAAGTCCTGTGGTCTCTTTACTTGGACACCAGAAAATCCCTGTAAAGCGTGTGTGTGTGTGTGTGTGTGTGTGTGTGTGTGTGTGTGGGTGTGGGTGTGTGTGTGGGTGTGTCCCGGAGCACTGGAGCCACAGCACCTCACTCTCCACCTATCCCATACTCACACTAGAGTGAGGGGGTGGTCCGCCCCCCTGGGCAGGAGGGATCAGCAAGAAACAAACCCCTCCATGGGGGACAGTACAGAGCTCAGTCCTTCTCTGGAATGTCACAGACCACGCCCTCCACGCCCTCCAGCTCCAGCCCCAGAGGCCCCTTCCCCCAGAGGTAGACTTGAGTGATCCAGACTTGAAAGCCCACACATCACACCTGTGAGGGCCACAAGCTTTTATTGACAAGTAGTGGGGCGACCCAGGAGTCTCTGAGTAGGGAGTGCCAGCAGGGTCTCTCCAGGGGCTCAGGTATGTGCGGAGGAGGTCCCTGTGGGGGGGGGGTCTTGGCCCTGTAGGGGGCACTGGCAGAGCCTGGGTTCAGAAGAAGCCAAGCTGCTTTTTCTCCTGCTGCTGCTTCCACTTGGCCATGCTGTAGAATTCTTCCTTGGACCTCCCAAAGATATCTTGGAAGTCAGAGTCTGAGAGATAGAACTGGGTAGGGAAGTAGGGGTGTGGTTGCAGGAGAAGGGTGTCAACTGAGCCTAGAATGTGTCCCACTCACCCAGAGGTGTCACCCAGGGCTCAAGGCTCTCCCACATCTCTCTGCCCATCACCCCATCTGGAACCCACATCTCCCCAGGCAGCCTGCCCCTTGCCCATCATCAGTGGGTCACACCCTGGGCAGCTCCAGCTCAGTTTTAGATGCATTAGTGCTGGGGCAGTGAGTGGCAGGGAGTCTCGGGCATCCACCTCTTTGTGGGCTGGGTCCACGCCATCTGGCAGGTCCTCAGCGGCCTGGTGCATCAGCTGTTCTCGAGGCAGGCTCCCGTTGATCCTGGATCTGGGGCTGCTATGGTAGCTGCTGGTGCTGGAGCTGGTGCTGGTCCTAGTGCTGGTGCTGGTGCTGGTCCTAGTGCTGGTGCTGGTGCTGGTCCTAGTGCTGGTGCTGGTCCTAGTGCTGGCACTGCTGCTGCTGCTGCCCGCCTTGGGGCCTAGCTCCAGCTCATTCTTTGAGCTGTCCTGGGAGCCCTTGAGGGCTTGTAGGGCCAAGGGGCCTGCCCTGCCATTGCTTGGCCATCTGGACAGCTGGAAGTTTTTGACTTCCTGTCCGGAGAGGGGACTTAGGCTGGGGAGGATGGGGAATAGGCCCCCACAGAGAGGCCACACGGCCCATTGGCCCTCTTGCCGCCAGCTGCAGCCCCTGCCTCCTACCAGGGCCTGGCTCTTTCCCTGCCCATCTGCCCATCTGGACCACACTGACGGAGCCCCAGACCCCCGGGGGAAGCCCAGGAGGCCCTGATACTCACTGCTGTTATCTCAGAGACGGCAGATGTCGCTCCCAGGCTGCCCTCCACCACCTCCTCATAGGACTGGTTGTTCTGGGGGCAAGAATCAGGCCAGGGGCAGGATGGAGGGGCACCAGTGGGACCCGGGAGGGGGCCTGAGGACAAGAGTAGGCCTCCCCCACCCACACTAGAGGACCCCAGGCAGGGCGATGACTCCTCTCAGTCTGCCCAGGGCAGGCCCCTCTCCCCCAGATGAGGGTGGGGCTGCGGGGCTCAGGCCTCTCTCACCATCCACTTGTACGGGTCCCAGGTGAGGAACCATCCAGTGAAGGTGGGAGGCTCATGGCCCTGCTTGACCAGCACGATGGGTGTGGATGGGCTCCTCCCTGCCGGATGGGTCTTCAGGTACTCCTGGCCCCAGGGCACCGCCTCCTTCTTCCACTCGCTTGCAGCTTCCCCAAGCCACAGGAAGATCTGGGCCACAGAGGGCGCCTGGCCTTGGGCAGGTGGAAGGGCTGCCCGGAGCTGACCACTTCCCTCCCACCTCTGTCTATCAGATGGTCTCAGAGCCCCTCACACACCATCCCAGCCAGCCAGACACACCCAGCAGGCTGGCCACCACACCCACACACCATAAACACGCCAGAAGGTCACAGGTATGCGTGTATGCACTCAATCCACATGCATTTATGGAGCACCTACTGTGTCCCAGGCACTGTTTTAGGCATTGGGGATTTGACAATGAAAAAAATAGACAAAAATCCCTACCCTTGTAGAGCTTTCATTTTATTGGGGTAGACAGGAAAATAAGTAAAATATGTAGTATATGAGTTGGAGAAAAATAAGGCAGGGAAAGAAGATAAGAAGTGTGGTGGTGGTGGGATATTGTAATTTTAAATTAGAGTCAGGAAGAGCCTTACCGAGAAAATGACATTTGAGTCAAGATCTGAGGGAGGTAAGGGAGCAAGTCACATGTGTGCCTGGGCAGGAAGTGTTCTAACAAGAAGAAACAACCAATCCAAAAGCCCTGAGTGTTCTGGCGTGTTCCAGGAGCAGCAGGGAGACCATTGTGGTTGGAGCACAGCAAGTAAGGGGAAGAAGGGAAGCAAACTGGGCCAGAGTCAGGGCCACCAGGTCACACAGGGCTGTGGTAAGGGCTTTGGTTTCACTCTGAGATGGGAGCTCACAAGCCTCATCAGCACACTCACATAGTGTCACAGACACAATGATGCAGACACGCACACATCCATCGCCACACAGGCAGACAGCAAATCACAGCCACCCACAGTCACACATAAACACAATCACACCCAATCACAGTCACACACACCCAGCCTGAAAAACCGCACAGAAACATAATTACCCAGCCACACAAACACAGTCACTCAGTGTCTCACACCTGCAGCCAGTTACATAGTCTCTCTTTCTCACACAGTCTCACCAGTTATAGCTGGTCTGGCCAGTTACAGCCAGTTATTTGACCACAGCCACATGTATGACACATACACATGCGGTCAGTCGCCCACTCAACACTGACACATGTCAGCCACAGGCACTCAGTTGCCTGGAATCACACATACCATCGTAAGGCACATGGAGTTACACACAACTACAAAACTGGTCACTGTCATACACGAGTCCCAGACACACAGTCACAGTGCCCTGCAGCCTCACTGTGACACAGACTCATCCACGGTCACACAGTTACAGTGTCACAATGTCACACACAGTCACAGACTCACCCACAGCCTTACATGCAGTCATATGGCTAGAAACACACAAAATCACACACACTCACACCCAGTTACACATATACAGACACACTCCATTCATGCTCCAGCCGGGCAGGGGTGGCTGCCTCACCTCCTGCCAGGTGTCCAGCAACATGATGTCATACTTATCCAGGTCCTCTTGGCTAAAGAACACGACTTCCGTGAGGACCAGGTGGCCCATCTGGCTGGAGCACTCAAAGAGTCGTGGCTGGAAGCTGGAGATGTCCTCGGGGAGCCTGGCCAGTGTGAGCACGAGGCCATGAGGGGCGCAAAGAGCCCTTGTCTCTCACCAGCCTGGGCCTAGCTAGTCCTCAGCCAGGACCCCTACCCCAGGAGCTGGGAAACAACTTCTCTGGGAGTAGGAGGCATGGGCCCTCCTCTGAGCTCCACCCATCCCATAATTCACTCCAGAAATGCCCTGCTCCTCTCTAGGCCTCAGTGTCTTTGTCTGTCAGTGGGGAAAGCAGATTAGGTGATCTCTCTAGACCCAGCCAGCTGTGGCACAGCTGCCCCATGAATTTTCCCAGGAGTGGGCGGGCACTGGGAAGGGGATGGCCGACTTAGTGGGGCAAGCCTGAGCTGGAGCCCTGCCCTCACTGGGCGGGAGGAGCTGCTGCTCCCACCCCTGGCTGGGAGCCTGGCCACAGGCCCAAGGTGGGAGGAGGGAAGCTAGGCTAAGAGAGGGGGACAGTAGTACTTAGGAGCTCAGCAGACTTGGGGGGAGTGCAGTGCGTAAACCAGGCCCCACAGGCAGAGCAGCCCTGGACTCAGCTCCCTCCTCCCTTTGAGGCCTCACTCTGCCCCACCTTCAGATATACACCCTTGTCCATTTATAGACCACACACATACACAGTTCTTGCACACTCCACACATGCTGTTTACCCACATGTCATATTACACTACACACATACACACACACACACACTGGGCGCCACCAACCCTGGGGACTGAGGTTGGGAAGCCTCTGCCAGTGGGATGGTCCAGAACTGGGACAATGCAGGGAGCACATTCAGCCAGCAGAGGGCGCCACTGCACTGCTCTCCCTAGCATCTTCCTGATCCAAAGTATCCAGGGCTGGGAGTGAAGCAGAGGGGCTGTGTTCCTGGGAGCCCTGGGGTGGGGAGCCAAGAGTCCTCAGTTCTAGTCTGGCCTCTTCAGATCTTTGTATGACCCTTAATTAGTCACCCACTCTTTCAGCCTCAGTCTCTGCCTCTGTGTAAGGAGAACACCATCCTCCCAACCCTGTCACCTCTTGTCGCTGGGGTAGGGAGCCCGGCCTCCCAGGGCCTCCCAGAAGTGAGGAGGCTCCTGACCCTCTAGCACCGTTTCCTCATTCTTCCTGGAGATGACAGGGACCACCATCCGTGCCATCTCACGCTGGTCACCACTGCAGCCCTGGCAGACAAAGAGCTGGATCACGCCCTGCAGGGAGAGAGGTCTCCACCCCCAGCCCCATGTCCACCACTCACAGAGGCCTGTGGAGAGCTGGGCCTGAGTCACAGGAGGCCTAGGCTGATGGTGGGGCACATGTGGGCAAGGGATCTCCCTTCCTCACCCTCCTAGCCTCCCTTTCCCCAGCTGATCAGGGTCACAGGGACTGGGACCCTCTTCAGGTCCAGAGCATTGGATGGGGACTCCCAGCCTTGGGGATCATTCATGATTTATGCTGAAGATCAGAGAAAACTACGGCCAACTGGACTAGCCCTCTTCCTTGCGAAGGGCATGCTCCCTGCTCAAGGCAGGAAGGAAGGGAGGCAGCCTGGGTCTGGCCTAGCTCTGGCCTGTGGACTCCCAGGTTCACCTGTCACTTTGTAACTTCCCCCAGGTTCCAGAGGGAACATTGTAGCCTCTCCCCCTGCCCTCCTCCTGGCCCCTTCTGAGGCCGGACTTAAAGTCTGCAGCCCCTGTGGAGTGGACCCATCCCTGCCTGGCACCCCTGCCCTGGGTGTGAATCAAGTGGTCAGTGCTGGGGGTACCTTCCCAAACCAGAGATAGCAGATGTCAGCTGTGACCAGCAAGAAGATGTCACTGGAGTTGAGGGCTGAGGCACGGGCTGGCACCTCCGTGGTCCTGGTGTTGTAGCTGTCGGTGCCTTGCACATGGAAGAGCCTCGTGGTGGATGCTGGCTGCCCCTTCCCATGGTGCCCCGTGTTTCCCTACAAGAGGGCTGGGCCTCAGGCTGAGGCAAGGGCTCCTGGGGGCCGCCTCCCTGTCCCAGTGGGGGACCCTCATTAAAGCCACCCCTGTTTTCTGGACCCTCTGAGTATGGAGTGTGAGGAGCCCGTCAGTCTAGGGTAGGGAACCAGGCCCTTTCTAAATGGACACCTCACCCCATCTCCGAGGGGTCACGGCATGGTTCCCCCAGGCCTTGAAGATGGAAAGTGGGGGCTGGCTTTGCCTATCTGTGATCCCAGGCAAGGCCCTGGATCCCTTTCAGTTCAACTTCCTCACCTGTCTCCTGCTTTGTGGCTGGCTCTCGGGACCGAGAGAAGAAACTCAGGCAGGGGTCACCCTTGGGGGTCCTGGGCCTCAGACAAGCACCAGGAACCCAGGGGGTGGTAAGCCGGGTCCCCAGCCTGAAGAGAAGGTGCTCAGCATGTGTGTGAGGGCCATGGGCACTTGGAGGAACCAGTGAGGCTGCGGCTGCAGCAGCAAGGTGGCACCTACCTGGAAGACCACTAGCTGGCCCTTGAGGATGGCGAGGAAGTGGGGGGGCTCGCTGCCCATCGTCACATGCTCCTGCACCAGGGCTCCATGGTACCTGAGGTCCAGCTCCTCAGCGTTGCAGGTCAGGGCCTTTATCTCATGTGCGGTGGCCTGGTGGCCCTGTAGGCAGGGGTGGTGAGGGCCTGGCGCAGCTCTTAGATCCCATTCTCAGATCCTTAGCTCCGGAGCTTGAAGGTGCCCACCACCCCCTCAGGTCGGCGCACCTGCCATAGGTACAGGATGTACTGGACACGGCCCATCTTCTGGTATGTGTAGAGTACAAGGTAGCAGTTGTCTGCACACAACTGTCCATGATGCTTGGGATCCATGGGTTGCCTGCATGAGTCCTGGATGCACCACATCTGGGGAACAGCGGACCAGTGGGCACAGGTGGCTCCTCTACCTGAACCAGCCCACCCACCCTGTGCCCAGCCAGAAAGCTCTCCTCAGCCTCGAGGCATGCCTCAGCTCTGCAGGCAAGGGGCTCGCTCCCAGCACTGCACCCACCCCACACTCTGTGTTGGGCTTGTGCAAGGATCTGCAGGTGACCCTTTCCCTCATGGGCCCCTGGGACCCACCACACTGTGCCAGCCTGCTGTCAGCCAGTACTCTAAGTTGGCGTGTAGTGCCTGGGACAAAAGAGCGGTGAGGACACCAGAGACTGCCGAGGCCACACACCACCCCCTGCCCGACCCCACCAGCCACAGCCCAGGTTAGGGGCAGACAGGTCCTGGCACAGCTGCTCACTGCTCAGGCCCAGGCAGCAGAAGCTGGGCAGAAGCCAGGCCTGGGCTGGCTCTTGGAAAAATTTCCTTTTTTCAAATGTCACTTAAAAAACAAAGCCTATTCACAGACTGAAAGGAAAACAGTTCCTCACACTAACAGTGTGATTTCTTGTTCCTACGGGTAGTGAGCATGGGCTCTGGAGCCAGGCAGACCCTGGCCAAATCCCAGGTCAGCCTGGTGTTGGCAGCGAGACCTTTCGGAGCTTCAGTTTTTCCCACCTATAAGGTGGGGATAGAACGCCCATCTCCACATGGCAGGAAACAATGCCTGGGCATCCTGTGCTCACACAGACCTTCCCCTGTCTCTGGGGAAGGTCTCCTCCAGACCGGAGCATCCAGAATCCTGCCTTTTGCAGAGAGGCTATGACCACACGCCACCCAGGAGAGGCAATTACATGGCAGCCAGGCCTCCCGACCATGGCCACTGCCCGCCCCACCTGCCTGTCCACTCAGTACCCACTGGGAGGGATCCCCTCCCTGCCTTTGTGCCTGGGGCCTGGGTGGCAGAGCCCCCTTCCTTCCCTCCCTAGCCCTCCTCTCTGTTTTCCTGTCTCCTTCTCTCTAGCTCCCTGTCTGCCCCCTCTGTCTCTCCCTGTGTACCCCATCTCTCCCGGATCCCCCCTTTCTCTTCTCCCCGTGCCCCCATCTGTCCCTGCTATTCGTCCCATCTCCTCCCCGCCCCACTCTCTGTCTCCGTCTTTCTCAGTCCCCTCTTCTCTCTGTCTCTCTCTGTCCCCCCTCCCTGTCTTCCTCTCTCTTTGCTGCCCACCCCCCACCTCTCTCCTTGCCTTGTCTCCTCTTATCTCAGTCTCTCCTCACTAATGGCCTCTGTCCAACCACATCAGGCCAAATGTAGGAAGCAGCCTCGGAGAAATGGTATTTTCTCTGACGTCGACCTATCTTGAGAACTAGAACCCCTCACGCAGGCCCAGCAGTCCTGTTCCCAGAATCTCACAGCATCCCCACACCTGCCTTGGGGCCGGATGGGACCCCAGTTTTTGCCCCCATTTTATAGATAAAAAATTGAAGCCCAAAGGAATAAAGGGCCCTGTCAACAAGTCAAGATACAACCCTGCCTTGTACAGAGCCGGGAGGAGGCCCCCAACTCCTGCATCTGGCAGAACACTGGTCTGAAAGCAGATGAGTGACTGACTGTGTGTGGCTGTGTGTGCGGTGTGTGGGGCTGTGATCATGTGTCATGCAAAGTTTGTGCAATTATATGCTTGCATTGTGTACTTGGCTGTGATTAAGTGCAGTTACAAGGTATGAGTATGTGTGTCTGTATTATCATATGTATGGTTGTGTTATACATGACAAAAGGTCACGATTAAGCATCACGTGTTACTGTGCTGTATGCCATGAGTGTTATGTGAGCGAGTGGCCATGGCTGTGTGTGATTGAGAGTGATGTGTAAGAGCCTGCTGTAGGGGGGTCGTGTGTATATGTTCACATGCCCTTGGGTGTTTCCGATTGTGTACAGATGTGCACCTGGGTGTACGTGGGTCACTTTAGCAGCCATACCGTTCACCTGAAGACAAAGCCAACCCCTGTGTGCCCGTCTTCCCCCAGCCAAGCCAGTGCCCCTCACCTCAACCTTCCCGGAGCCGTCGTCCACCATCCTAAGCTGGGCCGCTAGCTCTGGCTGGCTGTGCAGCTTGCCCACGTCCAGCTTTAACTGAGTCAATTTGCCTGAGGGTGAGGCAGACGGTGTCACTGGCGCCGTGTCCTTGTGCCCGCCCCGGCCAGCCCCGCCCCGCCCGCTCAGCCATCCCGCCAAGGTTCTGCGTGCCTCCTCGCGCCGGCCCCGCCCCCCGCGGGCCCCGCCCCGGCCCCGAAGGCCCCACCTCCGCCGCTCACCCACCCCGCCGAGGGTCTGGGCGCCTTCTCCGCAGGCCCCGCTGCGCGCCCTCAGGGCCCCGCCCCTCCCCATTCGCTCACCAATCCCGCCGAGGCTCTGCGTGCCGCCCCCGCAGGCCCCGCCCCGTCCCCGCAGGCCCCGCCCCTCCCGCTCACCCACACTTCTGAGGTTCTTGTTCCTGCGTCGCTCCTTAGACCACGTCCGGAAGAGCTGCTTGAACGCGGCGGACTCGGCGCCGTCGTTCACCACCTCCACGTTGGTGTAGGCCGGATAGCCCTTGGCCTGGATGAAGCCCTGGGGCGTGGGCTCTGTCAGGCGTGGGTCCCGAGGGCCCACTGCCCCGCTCCACCCGCGGGGACCTGCCGCTCGGGCTACAGGGCCATTGAACCTTCAGCAGCGTTAATTAACCAAGCTCATGATCCGCTGAAGGAGCTGGCTCCGTCACTCACTACCCACTTCTCCGAGGTCCCTGAGGACAGGCAGGGTTCCTTTAGTCCGGGCCTCGGGAAGGGCCGGCCATGACAACCGTCAGACCCCAGGCAGAGCCCCGTCTCCCCTCCTCTAAAAGGAGGGGGCGCCCAGTGCGGTAGGCTCCTCAGACCTCAAGGCAGGGCCGTGTCCTTTTACACATGGCTTCTTGGGTGCTATCTGGTCTTCCCCCCATCAGGGCGCCCAGGGCAGGCTACATGGCCCTGACCCCAGAGAGGGGCCCTGTGGTCCCCCTCAGACCCCTGGGCTGAGCTGTGTCATCTCCCTCAGGGCGGTTTGTCTCCAGGCTTGGACCCCAGGGCAGGGTCATGACCTCCTCCATCAGACAGGGCTCCCAGGGCAGGATGTGTTCATCTCCTAGCCCCCGGGGAGCAGGACTATCTCCCCTTTCAGACCCCAGGACATGGATGTCTCCCAGCTTAGCCTTCAGAGTAGGGCCATTTCTTCCCTCAGACCCCAGGGCAGGGCTGCCTCCCCCTTCAAACCCCAGGCAGCTCTATGTCCCTTTGACTCAGGGCCCCACAGACTCACCAGAGCCCGGCTGAAAGCAGCCTTTTTCTCCTGGAGGCTGGACATGCATCCCTGCCACACGTAGATCTTGAAACCACCATGGTCCAGGATGTAGCAGTCCTAGGAGAAAGAGTGGGGCTGGTCAGGAGGTAGTCTAGACTGGGTTGGGGTTGTGGGGTGGGTGGGGATGGATGGGTGGCTGGGGCCAGGCCTGCCTCACCTCCTCCTGCAGTAGGTCTTGAGTCAGTGGGGAGGTTGCCAACTCCTGGATCACCAGGTCCTTGCCCTTCTCGTAGACACTGGGGGACAGGCAGCCAGATGTGGGCAATTCAGCCCCTCCTTGGCCCGGCTCCACTCCAGCCCCCTTGCCAACTCCCCCTCCCCCTTGGAGGCAGAAGGCATGGGGGCTGGGGCGCTGAGTTGAGGTCTTGAGTTCACCGAAGCCTTGCTGTGGAGCCTTAGGCAGCTCCCTGGCCCTCTCAGGGCCTCAGTCACCCTGTCTACACAATGGGTTTCTCAGAAAGGCAGCCATGCAAGAGTACAGGCTGGGCCCAAGGTCCCACATGGCCTGCCCCAGAAACCCATAAGCCTTTTGTGGAGGGCTTTCTAGAAACACTGTGTTACTACAGTAATGATGGACATGCAGGCCTGGGCTATTCCACCCACCCTGCCCACTCCCAAAGTCTGCTCACTGGTAGAGGCGGACATTGGCCTTCTGCAGCTGGTTAACACTCTTGTTGGGCACAGCTGTGTGTAGGTTGCCCACTCTGCAGCCCAGCACAGCTTCCATGATCTGCATGAGGTCAGTGGCTTTGACCTCATCATCCACCACACAAATCTGTGCACGACCACCACGCTCCTTGTCCTGGAGGCTGCAGGTCAGGGCCAGGCCCTGTGGGAGAGGACCTGGCAGTCAGGGCTTCCCCAGCATGCCTCCTTCACCTCTCAGACAGTCTATTCCAGATCCTTCCTGTCAATGTTCAGCTCGCAGAGGCTGGGGGCAGGGGGAAGTATCCCCTTATCCTGGCATCCATGGGCACCAGCAGTGCAGGGTCTGGACTCAGCTTGCACCCATTAGGTGCTTCTCAGGTTGTAGCAGAGAGCCAAGCCCACCTCTTCAGGTGGCTGGAGGACCACCCTTCTCCCCAAGCCCTGCACCCCTTGGTTCCCAAGACAGACACTGACCCGCGCCTTCTCAGAAACGCTGGTCTTGGGCCCATTCCACTGGATCATCACCTTCCCGAGGTCCAGCAGGAAGACGTCATCCGTATTAAAGCTGTTCCAGGAGAGCTCCACCTGCCACAGCCAGGAGGGGCAGGGAAGGAGACAGGGTGTCATACCACCAGCACTCAGGTGGAGGGGTACCACAGCCTGTCCCCACTTATGTGAGCATAGCTCGAGTGTGTCACTTGTGTGCATGAAGCTGTGTGCAACTGGGTGTATGTGTGACCATGACACCACTATTATGGTGTGCGGGCACGCATCTATGTAACTGTATGAGCTCTTGAGGGTCACTCTGTGGGTAGGTCTCTAGGCATGTGCGACTGTAAGTACTGCTGCATTTCACAGGGTGTACATGACTGAGTGTGACCCTTTTCACTCAAAGCATGTCTGTAGCTGTACATGTGTAAACAAGTGGGGCATATCTGATGTGAACAAGTGTGTGAGCTCATGGGTGACAGTGTATGTGTGCCTGTTTGGGGGGCAGTGTGTTATCTATGGGTTAGGATAGCTATCATCCAAAGAGAGACACTTCTGAGAGTAGAAGCAGGGACTCTGAATAATTATGCCAGAAGAACAGGCAAAACCTGGGGCTGCATGATGTCCCTGCATGACCAGGGATGTATGGTCACTGCACTGTGGGTGACAGTGTGTGAGCCTGTGTGGGACTGTCTGTGAGTCACAGGGCTGCCACACACCATGTAGACAGTAACGTGCACAACTCAGGTGTCATCAGTCACATCGGAGACATCAAACACTTGAATGTTCATTACCCCAAATTCCTGCCAGAAGGCAGCAAAGTGTCCCATTCTAACGAGATCAGTATTTTCCCTTAATTTCCTGATAGATGGAAGCAAGGGACACCCTGTTCTAATTTGCACAAGGGCACTCTGTGGACTACAGTGGCCCCGGGGGTAATAGTGGGAGACAGTGTGTGTGCCTATGGGTGACAGTGACAATGTGTATGAGAGTGTGGGGCTGTGCACCTCCCACCCCAAATCATGCTACTCCCTATTGTGCCACTTACAAGGACCAGCCAGGTGAACATCTTGTCTGCCTCACCTCCCCAAGTTCTTAATATGCCCATGAGACAGATGAGGAAACAGAGGGTCAGAGGAGCCATGGCGGGGGTGGAGCTAGAAGCCTGGCTCTGCCTTCTCTCTCCTCGTCCAACAGGCCATCTGGGAATGCTGACAGCCCATGTTCCTCCCACTCCCCCGTCACCTCCCACACTTCCCTGTACTTCAGTACACGCAGTCTGAGCTGAGTCCAGAGGTCAAGGGGCATCCCTGGCAGCCCTCACCTCGGTGGCTGACACGTGCTTCCTCCCTTGGATGTGCAGCAGTCGCTGGATGTTGTACATGTTGGTCTCCACGTGCTTGAGGGCAGAGGCTAGGCCTCCTTTCCTGTAGCTGAGGAGGGCATGGGGTCTCACGTAAGACCAGACCCTGCCATGTGCAGGTGTGAGCACATGCACACACACGTAGGGATATGCACGTGCCTGTTTAATACATGTGTGCAAGGAGATATGAACACGTGTGTATAAGCACGAGTACACACGAGGGGCAGGAGTGTGCATTTGTTTATCCATGTGTAGATATGTGGACACGCATGTATATGTACATGTATATATGCGGGAGCATAGTGTGTAGCTGTCTATCTGTGTGTAGATGTAGATACACACACATGCACCTGTATACAAGTGCGACATGAGTGTTTATCCATATGAGTAAAGATGTGAGTGTATGGAATTTGGGCAACAGCATATATGAGTGTAGGTGGACATGAATATTCATGTATGTGTGTAGGTGTGCCCATCTGTAGGTGGACACACATAGGGGTGGCGTGTTTTCTGTATGTGCATGTATACGTGTGTGCGTGTGTCCAGGTATATACCACATGCATGTATTAGGTTCAACTGTGTGAAATAGAAATGATTGAATATTGGCAGTTTCCTGTGGTTCAACCTGATATATTGCAGTTATTAATTTAATAAATATTTGAAGCAATTTACAGCAAAATACATTTCTACTGGGGACAGTAACGTAAAAGCAAACTCAAAACAACATTGGTGTCCACTCCAGGGTACGTACCCAAGAGAAATGAAAAACATGTCCACACAAAAACTTGTGTACAATGATAGATAACTAAACTTATCGCGGTAATCATTTCACGGCATAGGTAAGTCAAACCATTATGCTGCACACCTTAAACTTATACGGTGACGTATGTCAATTATATCTCAATAAAACTAGGGGGGAAAAACCCAAAACTTGTATACAAATGTTAGTAAAACAACCCAAATGTCCATTAAGTGATGAATACATAAAATGTGGCACATCCATACATCAGGAGTGTTTAATTCCATTTATATGAAATGTCCAGAACAGGCAAATCTATACAGGTTGGGGGAAGGGAGGGTTGCAGGGAGATGGGGCGTGACTGCTAAAGGGTATGGGGCTTCTTTGTGGGCTGACGGAAATGTTCTAAAATTGTGGTGATGGTTGCATAAGTCTGTGAATATACTAAATCACTGAATTGTATATTTTAAGTGGGTGGGTTGTATAGTATGTGATTTGTATCTCAATAAAGGTGTTACGCTTTCCCTCAAAACAGCCCACACACTAGAGAAGAGGGAGAGAGCCACACCAGGCAGCCCAGCCACCCCACCAATCTGTCCCTCCCCTCTGTCCCCCACCCCCCCACCCCTCCATCCCTTCCCTCTACCCCTCCTCCCCCTGTCTCTGCTTCCCCCTCAACTCACATGATCCCCGTGCGGAAGCAGCTGCGGAAACAGTCGGACTCGTGGCCCTGCACCTCGCGGTGCTGCACAGGGGCAACACCCAGCGCCTCCTGTAGGTGCTGCACAAAGGTGCCCGCCGCGGCCTGCGCGTCAGCGCCCGCCTCTTTCCCGACCCAGTAGTGCAGGTTGCTGGACGCCCCCTGCGTGGCCTTCAGGCTCTGGGGGACCTAGGGCCCAGGTGTTCTTTATGTGGGTGGGATGCGGGGAGAGGGCTAAGGCCCCGGTCGAGGATGTGCCAAGGGTCTTGGAGAGACTGGGCAGGTGCTTCCACAGGCAGGAGATGGAGAATGGGGAGGGATGGGTGAAGAGGCCTCAAAGGCAGCAGCCCCCTTGTGGGATGCGATTCTTGGGCTCCCAGCCTGCCTCTTCCCAGGGCAGAGCTCAGTCTACACCATCAGACTCCCCAGCTGGGCCATGACACCCCCTCAGACAGACTCCCCAGCTGCTCACATGGAGGACGATGTAGCAGTGTTCCTCAAAGAAGTTCCCATAAGCCCGCTCGGGTACTGGCACCATCTTCAGGTTCTAGGAGAGGAGGGTGTCTAGCGACAATTCAGGAGACCCACCCACCCACCCATGACCCTCTAGGGTGGGCTGAGGGAGGGAACTCTGATCTGGGAGGTGGCCTGGAAGAAGCCTAGTCTCAGAGACTGCACACCAACTCTGCTGTCTGGTCATGCCCCTCACCTCAATGATCCACACGTGGAGGTCCCTATGGCTCTCGATAGCTGGGAGGCCCTTGTTGATGTCCATCCTAGGCCAGGCGGGAGTGAGGGAGGAAACAAGAGTCAGAGTTCTCAGGCCCTGGCCACCTGTACTCTGGGCTCCAAGCAAGAACTCTTCCCACCTACAGCTCTCCAAAGCACCTTCGTCATAGAATGTGCCTTTCATTAGGTCAGCTATGTAAACAAAAATGCCAGCAAACCAGGACAGGTACCACAGACGTCGGCACAGAGGCTTTGCAAACAGGGACCTGTTCTGTCGTCTGTGGTTGTGTTCTGGAAACAAAGCTGAGCTCTGTGGACAGGGATAGGCTTTGAACATAGGGACAACCTCTGGCAACAGACAGGGAGTTAGAAACAGGCTATGCAGACAGGCACAGGATCTGCAGTCAGGGACAGTCCCTGTGGACAGTGATAGGTTATGCAGACAGGCAGAGGTTCTGCTAGTAAGAAGTTCTGCAGGCAGGGACAGACTCTGCAAACAGGGACAGGCTCTTGAAATGAGACTGAATTCTGTAGACAAAGACAGGCTCTGCGCACAAGGACAGAGCTGCAAATAGGCATAGGTTTTCCAAACAGTCAGGAATGGGCTATGCAAAGAGATCCGGCACCTGCAGAGAGTGATAGGCTATATAGATAGGGAAAGGCTCTGCATACACGCATAGGCTCTGCAAACAGGAACAGCTTCCTCAGACTGAAGAAAGGGATGCAACAGGCACAGGTTCTCCTGACAAAAATGAGTTCTGTAGACAGGGTCGATCTGTGTGTATAAAGACAGCCTGTGCAAAGAGACACAGACTCTATCCAGGGAAATTCAGACAGGCCAGGCAAATAAGCAAAGATTGTGAACACTGAGAAAGACTCTACAGACCGTCACAGGTTTTGCAGGTATGGAGAGCTTTGCAGACTGGGAAAGGCTTTGCACATGTCGATGGGGACTGACCCTTAAGACAGGGACTCTGTGCATAAGAGACAGACTCTGCAGATACAGAGACAGCTACATGGATAGGCAAGGCTCTGCAAATAGGCACAGCATTTTCAGTCAGAGAAATGCTTTCTAGATAGAGGCAGGCTCTTGAAGCAGGCAAAAATTCTCTAGGCATGGTCAGGCTCTGCATGCAGGGACAGCCTCAGGAAACAGACTCAAATCCTGCATACAGGGAGATGGGAACAAGCTGGGCAAACAATCATGAGCTATGCAAAGAGATCCAGGCCCTGCAGACAGGGGCTCTACAGACAGAGACTTTGCACATAGGAAGAGGTTTTGTAAGCTCACACAGGCTCTGCAAACAGATAGGCTTTGTTAACAGTGACAACTTCTTCAGAGAGGGCAGGATTTGCTGAAATGAGCTGGCAGGGAAATCAGCTTTTTGTTCAAGCACAGATGCCCCAGACAAGGGCAAGATCTTGAGACATGGCTGGGTTCTGTAGAGAGCCTGGGTTCTGCAAACAGGGACAGGCTTTATAGAAAAGGATGAGTTCTGGAAACAGATAGAGGCTCTGTAAATTGGGACAGGCTCTGCTAACAGGTACACATGGAATTAGGAATAAAGTGTGCACACAGGCATAGGCTCTGCAAACAGGGATGTGCTCTGCAGAAAGAAACAGGTGCTCCCAGATAGACACAGCAACGCCTGAGAGTGATAAACCTTTCATAGGAATAGATCCTGCAAGCAGACGCAGTGTCTATCCAGGGAAATTCAGATAGGCTGTGCAAACAGGCAAGGCCCTGAAAAATGTCCTAGACTGTACATATAGGGCTCAGGTCCTGCAGACAGAACCAGGCTCTGAAATTGGAAAAGACTCTGCAAACAGGGACATAGTCTAGAGACAGAGGCACTTACTGCAGAGGAAACAGGCTCTGCTGATAGGGACAGGTACCGAAAACAGACAAAGCTTTGCAAACAGGAACTGTCTTCAGGCAGAAAGGGGTGTCCCAGACAAGGACATCAGACAAGCTCTGTAGACAGGGATAGGCTCTGCATGCAGGGCAGCTTGCATAAAAGCAAATCTTATACACAGGGAAATAGGGACAGACAGTTTAAAAAGACTCAGGTTCTGAAAAAAGGCAGACTCTGAAAATAGACACAGGCTCAGGACACAAACAGCCTCTGCAGACAAGACAAAGGTTCTGCAAACCCAGGGCAGACTCTGCACAAGACTGTCTCTGAAGACTGTGACAGAGTCTGCAGCAGGTGACAGGCTTAGGTAACCTGAGTGGGTCAGATAAATCAGGCATAAGCACTCTTAAATTCTTGAAACAGAGCTGAACTCTTAATACACACAGACCTGCAAACAGCCACAGGCTCTGCAAACAGCAACTTGGCTCTCTTGAGTTTATGCCCTGTGGTTCTCAGTGTGCACAGCAAAGAAAGAAATGTGGAATGAGAGGTATTTGGAGAAGGGGGCTCTCGATTTTGTTACATCTTGGCAGGTGACTCTCAACTACCCCAGGCTTCCCTTACCACTCCTTCAGAAACCTCTGTGTGAGGCTTGGTCATTCCTTCATCCACGGAAGTTCTTTCTACATCTAACCTAAATCCTGCCAGTTGCAACTTTTTCTTCTTTTTTTTTTTTAAACATGTGGCTTTTTTTTTGTGTGTGTGTGAGGAAGATCAGCCCTGAGCTAACATCCATGACAATCCTCCTCTTTTTGCTGAGGAAGACCGGCCCTGAGCTAACATCTATTGCCAATCCTCCTCCTTTTTTTTTCCCTTTTTCTCCCCAAAGCCCCAGTAGATAGTTGTATGTCATAGTTGCACATCCTTCTAGTTGCTGTATGTGGGACGCCTCCTCAGCATGGCCGGACGAGCAGTGCGTGGGTGCGCGCCCAGGATCCGAACCCAGGCCGCCAGTAGTGGAGCGTGTGCACTTAACCACTAAGCCACGGGGCTGGCCCCGTGCAACTTTTTCTTCTTGCTGCTGCTTTGCTCAATATACCCAGAAGTCACTTCTTTCTGATTTCTCACTCCTAGTGGCCCTGGTGTGGTGTGAACTCATCTCCCTTCCCCACTCCACTCCAACTGTGTCTTATCAGCAATAGGAACACCCTTGGCTCTGCTGGCCCTGCATGACCAGGAGAAACAAGGTGGGAGGGGAGATACAGAGTTACAGAATCAAAGCATAGTGTGACAGGTGACACAGTGGCCTGCATTCCTTACACCTTTGTCCAGGGTCCCTAAGGGCTGGGCTCAGGCCCTGGTGAGCTCACAGTGCACTGTGGGAAACACCCAACCCTCTCAAAGAGGGTCAAGGTGGCCATGGAGGGTGGGGGGGTGGGAGCGGGGGAGGGGGCCGCCCAGAGCAGGTTGGGCAGGGGTGGGGCCTGCTGGGGTTTAGAGCTGTGGGGGGGCCTGCAGCCCCTCTGAACATGCTCTGGAGACCACATATGCTATTGGTATGGTCTCCTTCACTAGAGCAGAGGATTCCCAAGGCCAGGGGCTTGTCTTCTTGTTTACTGCCGGCTCCCAGCTGCCTGACAGCCAACAGGTACTCAGCAAATAGTTGTTGAAGGAATGAAACCTGTCACCTGTGACTTGTGAGTCGACTGAGTGAAAGTGGATGGAGAAGGGAGTCACCTAGTGCTCTAACTGCACCCAGAACTGCTGTTGCAGTTGATGGCCTGTTGGTGTGACAGTGATATGAGTGACAGGCAGACACGGTGACCATGTAATGGTAGTCTCAAGCAACAGAAAATGTGATGACAACGAGTGACAGGCATAGTGACATTCTACAGTGATCAGCAGAAGCAGCGACCAGTGACAGAGACCAGGGCACAGGCAGGCAGTGACCAGAGGTACAAACTATGGGCTGAAGGAAACAGCGTCAGAGTGACAGGAAGACTGACTTGCCTCAGCACAGTAGTCACCAGGGCCCCATGTGGGGCAGGAAAGTCAAACTGGCGGCCGGAAAGTTGGGACTGGGCTGGTTTCACTGGGCAGGGACAGCATCACCCCCAAGGGGCTGGGAGGGTGCCCTGATATCCAGGTCCAGCCTGGGGAGCCAAACTCTCAGGCTCCTAGTGCCTGAGACCCTAATCCCCATGTAACCTGTGTTCACCGTCTTCCAACCGGGTTCTGGGGTGATGGGGGAAGGGATGCTCAAAGAGCAGGGGCCCCCTCTCTTCCCGAACCCCCTTCTTTCCTCTAGGCGGTCACTTTCTCCCTCAGGGGCTCTTGCCTCTCCAGAGCACCCCCTCTAACCCACCAAGCTCTCCTACCTGCAGATCTCCCCTCTTTCCCTGGGGAACTCCCTTCCATCACCTACCCTGAGTGGGGACCCCCACCCTGTGTCCTCTCCCTCCTACTGGAAGCCCCCTTCGTTTCCCTGGGGGCTTGCTCCCTCTACCTGGGGCCTGCTTTCTCTCCCAGATGCCTAATTCCTCCTCTGACAATTCTCTCCCCCGTCCTCCCTCCTTTCCTAGATGCCCCTCTTTCCCCACTAGGCACCCCCATTCTCCTCACCATGCATCTTCCCTCCCCAGTGCCCGCTCCTCTCCTCTGACTGCCCCACCTCATGTCCCCCATCCTCCTCCAGACACCCTCTTCTCTCCCCTAGTGCCTCATCCTTTTCCCAGGGCGTCCTCCTCCCGCACCCCTTTCCTCCCCCAATGCATCCTCTCTACCCCTGTCTTCTCTTCCCTCCCCTAGGTTCTCCTCCCCACAAGTGCTCCCTTCCTCCTCCAGACTCCCCTTATTTCCCCTAGAGCCCCCTCCTTTCCCCATGTGCCCCCTCTCTTTACCCAGGCGCCCCTCCCTCCTCTGGCACCCCTCTATCCCCCCAGGTGCACAGTTTCCTCCTCCCGAGGCACCTCTGAAGGGGCGGGCCCTGAGGTTACTTTGCCTCACTTCCAGGAAGCAGGGAGGAGCGCTGCCGGCTGGAGTGGGAGGAGGGAGGGCAGGGTCTGGGCCCCCGGTGTACCGACTCTGTGGGTGACAGAGACCCCCATCCGAGTACAAAATCTGCCCCTTTCTTCCCCGTGGGTCGCTCTGGCCACAGCCTCCCTGCCCCCACCGGTGTTCTCACTTGAGCTGCTCGCTGCCTCCAATTCCGCCAGCCCGTCAGCAACCCTGAGCCCTGTAACCCATAACCCACGCTGTACACTCCTGACTTGGAACAGTCCCTCCCCACCCGGTTCCCAGCGCCCCCTCCCTGCCCACCTGTACCCTGTGCCCCCTCCCTGCCAGGCCTACCTGCTGGAAACTGCTCGCACCTTCACCCTGCCTGTGGGCAGTGCTGGGCCTGGCACAGGGCCAGGCTCTGCCAACCGCACCCCCTCCAGTGTAACTCAATCCTTGCTCCCGCCCTGTAGGACACACCCGCTGCTCAGCGGGCTGGGCATTCAAACTTAATCAGTCAGTCAGTCAACAAATATTAACCTAGCTCTCTGAGAGCCAGCCCCCTCCCCAGGGCCATGGCTGGTCTGCCAGGCCGCACCTCCTGGGTACTGGTGGCCAGAGAGAGCAGGGGATGGAGGCCTGGCTGGGCCAAGATGTGGGGTGTGGAATACACTGTGACTTCCCTTCTCTGAGAGCCCAGATGGGCCCCTGATCCCCGACCCCAGAAGGCCAGGCCACCCCAGCAAACTTGAGCAGGGAGCAGGACTAAGGCTGGTGGGGGGCGGGGGTGGCAGTCTGGCTCTGTGAGACCCAGGTCACTTCAGGAGGTAGGGGAAGGTGGCCAGGGCTCCCTCGAGCATCTCTGCTGTCCTCCCCACCCCGAGTTTGGGCTTGCTGCCTGTCACACTCCTCCCCAGGGAGTGCTGATACCCACTATGGGGAGGCCAGTCCAGCCCTTGCAGGGAAGACACCACTCCCACACCTTGGGCTGCCCCCTCCTTCCCTTCCAGATTGTGGTGTGGGGGGAGGTGCTGAAAGTAGAGCCTTCCAGAAACTCCACGGGCATGGCCATAGGCCTCAGACCCAGCCATGGCCCAGCCATTGTGGACACCCCTTCCAGGGCACACTACTAAAACCAAGCCCCTTTCCCCATGTCCAGTCCTCACCCCCCACTGCTCCCTGTCACAGGGTGAGGGGACTCCAGGAAATCTGGGTCCATCTGTGCCCAGTAGGACCTACTGCCAGTGCACGACTGTGTTTAACAGACAGGAGTTAATGGGTCCTTGTGTGTGAAGGGATGCCCGTGTCACAGGCACTTGGTCAGTCCCTGTGTGTGTCTGACCTCGTGTGTGAGAGAATGCCTACCTAGTCCTCTGTTCCTGTACGTGACCGTGTGTGTTTGGCTTCGCCTGTGCATACCTGTTTTCCCGGCTCCTTTTGTCCCTGTACCCAGCAAAATTCCATGTACCCACTTCTCCCCACTTCCTCATCTCGGATTCTCTCCTCTTTCCACTCTCCTTGGTGCCTGCATTCCCTGGAAATAGTTCTTTCCTAGTCGCCAACGCCCCCTCTTGCCAAAGCTGGTGGTTGGTTCTCTGTCTTCATCTTACTCTCCCTCTCACCAGCCAGGGACCCCTCTGACCACACCTTCCTCTTGAAACAGCCCACAGCCCAAGTTTTCTGCCCACCCACTGGCCACTCCATTGTCTCCTTTGGGGCCTTTAAATGTCGCTGGGCACAGAGCTTAGGCCTTCGCTCTTGCCTCTTTTCTATTTTCTTTCCAAGTTCCAGTCCTTAGGCTGTAAATACCACGGAAATGCTACTGGCTCTTCTGACCCAACTCCCCACTCCTTCCAAACCCCACCCCAGCCTCAGTCTCCTTCATCTAACTGTCTGGTCACATCTCTCCTGGCACGTCTAACCTCACACTTGACATCCACGGCAGGCCTCTCTCAGATCCACCTCCTCCGAGCCTCAGGAAATGGCCTGAACATCCAGCTGATTGCTCAGGCCACAAACCTGGGAGCCGTCCTGGGTTCCTCTCCTTCCCTAACACCTACAGTGCAGCCAGTGGCCAGTCTGCTTCATCCCGGTGGCTGGTTCATCCCGGATCCTGAGCCTTGCCAGCCCTGCTCCAGGAGCCAGCCTCTCTCACCAGTTGGCAGCATGAGGCTCCCTCTGTGTCTCTCGGTCTCTCTGGCCCCTATGTCTATCCTCCCACAGTAGCCAGAGGGATCATTTAACCATAAATCAGATGGTGCCACTCCCCTGCTTCAAACCTCCCAGTGGCTTCCCTAAAACCCCAAATTGCCTGTCCCTCCGGCTGCATATCCTATCACTCTCCTCATCGCCCACTATGTTTTAACTACAAGATTCTTTTTGTCCCTTAAGATGCCAAGCTTATGCTAGTCTCTGGACCTTTGCGCTAGCTGCTTCCTCTGCCTGGAAGCCTCTCCCCTGGATCTCCCCACAGCTCCTTTTCCGCATTCCGGCCCCAACCAAAATGGCACCTCGCCAGAGGGGCCTATCCTCACAGCCTTAGCTAAAGCGGTGCTCCTCCCCAGCTTTCCTCATCTTCTTGGTGCTTTCGGAAGCCGACAACTTCATTGCTTTGGATCCTGGTTTAGTGTCTGTCCCCAGCTGTAGTGTGAGCCCCTTGTGGGCAGGGCCTTGCTCATTGTTGTAGCCCCCCTTCTAGAATGGTGCCTGGCGCACGGTACTTGCTTAATAAATATTTGCTGACGTGCTCCTGTGGCCTATGACTGATCCGGTGGGGTGTGTTTGCACCCTCTGTTGGGCGCTGTCCTGAAGCCAGGCCTGGAGTTGAGTCCTCTCCAGCATCAGGTTCCAATTCCAGCTGAAGCGCCCACTAGCTAAGTGACTTAAGTGACTTGGGAGATGTTTCTAAGGCTTTTTCTGAGCTGACATTTCCTCCTCTGGGAAGGCAGGGAAGGTCACATCCCTTCACCTCCGTTGTGGGTAGGACACCCCACCTGGCACAATCCAGCCTCAGCAGCTTAGTGGGGGCACATGGACCTCTCCAAGGCCCCTCCTCTCAGAATTCTCTGGGTTTCTAGGACCCATAACTGCCCCATACCAAAATGGCCCCACCCTGTAACCTGTGATCCCAGGCCCAGGAGAGATGGCAGTGAGCCCGAGGGCCTAGCCTGGGGTCAAGATAAGCTTCACTGCTTTGTGTCTGGTGTGGACAATCTCCAGCTCATAGGATCACACCCATGGCACAGAGAGAGGAAACGGAGGCCCAGGGTAGTGCTCACAGGCAGCCAGGGTGCTACAAGGACGAAGGGGTGCCAAGCTTCTCCCTTCCTCTTCGCCCAGAGCATGAAGGGGGCTCCGTCCCTCCTTCCCCTGCTCGGTCACCCACCACGGATCCAGGCCTGGAGTCAGAAGGGCACTGAGCCTGGCTTAGCTCGGCCAGCATCGCCCTGGCCATGACCCCCACGTCCCACTGACCAATTCCCGCCTCGGGGTCCCCGTGGCCCACCCCCACCCTCGCCCGGCTGGTTCCGAGGGCTCTGGCCGCCGCTACTTTGTTCCTTTCTGGCTTATCTCCGAAGGCCCAGCCCGCTCCGCGTCAATATTGACAAAGGCGCCGGTGTGGCCCGGGGTGGGCGGGGCAGATGCTGGAAGCCAGCCCCGTCCTCCAGGCCCCGCCCCCAGGTTTCCGCAGCGCTGGTTCCCCTGTCGGTGCCCCAGGTCTCATCTGAGTCCTTCCCAGACAGGTGCAGAACGTCGCCCCTCATGGAGACCCGGTCCTGCAGGGGAGTGTGCCCCTGCGGAGCGCGGACAGGGCCTGGGGCGGGGGTGGGACTGCCTGACTCGGGTCCTGGATCCCACTGCCTGGAAACACTCCGGCCCCACGCCCTTGAGGAAAGCAGCCTTGGGCCCGCGTGGGTCCCCTACATCTGGCTGCAGACATAGTCACCTGGGCGCGCACGACCCGAGAGGGACTCCTCCGAGGGCGCCGTGGGAACCGCCAGAGCCCGAGAGGCCACCACTCTGATGAGCGGTGTGGAGTGCCTGAGTCCGAGAACGGCCCAAAGAAGAGCCCTAGGTCCCTGCAAATGAAGAGATGTCGCTGTCTTGCGTATCTGCAGTTGGGGATGTGTGGCCCTGCCCGGCAGCGCACCCACCCCATCCAGACACAGCTTGGGCCAGAACACTCTTGGTACTCCCACAGGCCCAGTCAGCTGTTATTCACTTCACTGCGGGGGGGGGCGGGGGGCGGGGCGCGTTGCAGGTGGAGGGGGGTTGGAAGGCTAGGTTCCTTTCCTGGTGGGTAGTGTGACCCCGTGATCCATTGTGAAGTGTATCCACTTTGCTCCCCACCTCAGTGTAAAAGCAGGGAACTGCTAGCCAGGTGGGGCTCTCAAACCCCCTTCTCACCCCTGCCTTGGGAAAGGCTCCCAGTGCCCATGTGGGGTTTTCTCTGTACTTTTCTAGGTTTCTTGAATTTTTAGCAATGAACATGTATGACTTATCTTTCAGGGAAACCAATACATGTCATTTCCCCTAAGCCCTGCCCATAGCTCCTCTGCCATACCTGGGTGTCAGGCTTACAACAGTTTTGGGGGATTTTCTTTTCCTCTATAGCCAGTGAGATCAGGGGTTCTCAGCCCTGGCTGCACCTTTGAATCATCTTGGGCACTTAAAAATATGATGCCCACCCTCAGAGATTTCAGTTTAAATGGTCTGGGGTGGACTTGAGGGATCTGTATTTTTAAGAGCCCTCAGGTGATTCTAATGGGCAGCCAGAGCTGAAATCACTGAGTTAAGAGATGGAGCTGCTATGGAGGTTAAAGTGGAAAACTCGAGCCCACATATCCTCCACCTGAGGGCCTGACGGTCCGGTGTGTTTTCCTTGGAGATCGGGCAGGGGGCCATGCCCGTTGGTGGCTCCGGGCCTGGAGCACCCTGTTGATCCATGGGCAGCCCTGGCACGTGAGATCTGCCATGTAAGCATCCCAGGTTACTCCAAGGACTCTGCCACAAGCCCCCAATGCACCCGTTATCCATAAGTTCAACAGACTGTCTTCTCAGGCTGGCTTTTCCCAGTCACTCCTCCCTTACCCTCCCCAGCTTCCTGCTCATTCCTTGGTCCTGGAATACAGAGAGATGATATATGCTCAAACAAGAAAACATCAGGAGGTGAAACCTCAGTATGCCCAAGTCCCAAATAAGTGACCTCTTGATGACCTGTGTTTCCTTCCCACCTATTCAGAGGATCTATGGACACTCACTGGGACACTGCAGCTTCAGGGGCAGCCACAATTCTCAATCACTTGTCTGTTTGCCTGTATGCAAAGATGTGAAGCAGCTGGGGGTATGCAGGCAATGCCAGAGGTGAGAGGAGAGAAAGAGATGGTCAGGGAGCAGAGCGAAGAAGAGACGGGGGACAGAGAGGGACACAGCCGAGGAGTCCAGAACCAGGGGAGGAAGCAGGGGTGACCTCTCTGGTTGGCCTCCTTCTCCACTGTGGAGAGGGAACCTAGCAGCATGGCACAAACTAGCTGTGGGAATTTAAGGTTTTGTCTCTGGGTAAATATTAGGTTTTCTGGGCTGACACACACCCTGTGTCTTATGTTGTTTGGGATGAATATATATGCCTGGTAGAACCCTGTATCCCCGTGATAGACAGAAAAGAGATTGCAGAGTGTTGTGTCACTGACCTCAGTTTTCTCATCCACAAAATGGGGATAAGACCTATCTAATGAGATTGATGACACTGGTGTTGTCATTTGAATTTTGTATCGCTATGAGGAAACAGTCCTGAGAGTGGTGAGGCCATGCTCAAGGCTCTGCCCAGAGTCCCTAGCAGAAGGGGAATCGCTGCCCCTCTCACCTTCATGTACAGAGGGGCTGGGCTGAGGGCACTGTCTGTAGGATGTCCCACTGTGAGAAAACTGTCTTGTATATCCTTACCCTCTTTCTGATTCCATACCATGCTTCACCGGTAATCACAGTGTCTCAGCCAGTGGACCCTAGGGCTACGGGTTCAGCCACTACACACAGCCACACAGCCTGTGGCTCTTATGGGATGGGGCAGAGGCTACAGTTCTCTCAGGCTGCATTTGGAAGCCTGTCAGTAGGGCTGGAATCCTTGTGGGAGGATGGTGAGCCACACTGCTTCTGTCTGGGGAGATGAAGCCAGGGGGCCTAACATTGGGCAGAATGGTTTTCTAGCTTCCCCTGGGGTCAAGGTCCGTGGCTCTTGGGATCCTGCAGCCCTGCTCCCATCCACCCCTGCTCTCCAGAAGCTGGGACACCAGGAGATCCAAGGTGCTGGCGATAGAATAGAAGAAAGAGCAAGGAGAGGCGTTGCTGCTAGAGAAGCAGTACATCCACAAGAGAGTGCAGTTTCATGTGTTTATTTTTGGCAGGAAGGAAATCATTGCAAACCTCTTGACTGACAAGGCTTGCCCCTGGAAACGTGCACATTCCACATTAGTACTTCCCAAGTAATGCTGGATTGTTGATCACATTCAAATGTTCAAAAGAAATCCAAGACCACCCAGACACCAGCATTTCCACTACTTGGGGGGGTGTTAGTCTACAGAGAAGCTCCCTGGAGAATGGAACAGGAACAGATACCATCGAATTTACAGTAAAATAAGAACAGAGGCAGCCAGTTGATTGTGCACAGGTAACTGCAAACACTTCAAGCTATCCACTCTTCTCGAACCCTGGCATGCCAACTGTCCATCACAGCACCTTTAAAAGCAGAGGCACAAACGTCACAAGTGTTTGACCAAAGGGCTGCGTGGTTCTGGATTTTATTAGAAAGCCATCTTTAAAATACAGGGTTGTAAAATGTTGCCAGGTTATATAGACTTACAGATTTCTTTTTTATGCCAAAAGTTCCAATGCTGCAACCATGACAAGTCAGTGTCATTAGGGCATCCTCATGTCTCCAAAGTCATCTCATCAAAAGTGTCCCATGTCAAAGGAGCTCCCCCACCAACCGTCAGCCGTGACAGGCGGTGTTCCTTTTTAGTATACAAATGCATTGTTTACAAACAGCTAATGGGTGAAACCAGAGACCAACACATAGGATTCCAGAGCAATGGAAGACAGAGCAGTAACAACCTCAGATGTGCCTGGGCACCTCCACTCGAGGCCCGGCCAGAGAAGTTGTAACATCACAGGGGCTGGAGTCTACGACCCAAGGAACCCTGTTCCAGATCTTAGTGTAAAAAATACTTGTCCAGGAAACTATATTTTAACCTGGTACAGAAAGGACCATGGAAAGTTAGGAGGTCAGATTTCTCTTTTGGCTAAAGAGTTGGTGAATGTTTTGGTAACATGGGAAGTATATGGCACATAGAAATAGCTAATAAGTTTCATCAGGTTTTAAAGCCCACAATTTAATAAAAGGTAATAATTAAAAACAATACCCGTATTTACCTTAAAAAGCATAAACCCCAAACATTCATCTCATTTCTTGGCCTTATGTTAGAATTCTATTGCTTCATTTACATGTAGATGATTAAAAATATAGATATCTTAGATATAGATATTTTGATTATGTACATAAAGCAGAATCAAGGGTTAAAATAAAAACAGGATTTTGGAGTATGGTCAAATAAGGTGCACAGAATCCAGAATCCTCAGAGGGTGTGCTGGCCCTCCCGAAACATTCTGTGTCTGTGGTGGTCGGAACCGGGCTCCATCCCCAACAGCTCCGCACTGGATTAGTGCAATGGCGCTCATGGTTTCAGGAACTACTAGGTGAACGTCTGGCTCAAGCCTGCCAAGTGTCTTCACTCCATCTGTCAGAAGTGGGGCACTATTCTTAGGTTCGATTCCCCTGAAATATTCTACAATTTCAGTCCTCTCTGCCCCCTATTCCAAACAAGACCTTGTGATGCCAACAAGGAAGGGGGCATGGATAAGGGTCTAAGGCTTTCATCAGGACCGATTTCTGTGTGGATTTCAACATATGACAAACACTTGACTACAACATTCACGACATTTAAGGCAGCGGGTTCATTTAATGACTAGTTTTCGAAATCAAGGTTTATGGCATGTGCAGATCTGCCTTGTAACTGTCATTATGGTAATGCCTAGCAAGGGGCTGTTTCTACTTTAACTGGCATGTGGATTACGGGGTTTGGAACACTCAGAATCTTGGGAGACCTGGTTACCCCTGAATACTTCTATTCTGAATGCATGGCAGTCCACAGACCAAATTGTTGTTGGGAGGACATGATTGGCAGCTGGCTTCATTATTTTGTGAATGAAAGCAAAAAAGAAATTTTACTTCGACCCCCAATTTCCAGTCTCGTTAGTGCCAGTCGCTCCCACCAGAACTCTGGCAGAGGCCCAACCTACAGAGGACTAAGGCAATGGTGCCAACACAAAAGGGTTCTTTTTAATTATTTTTAAGAGCAAGACTTTATAGACTGTCTTGTTGTCAAACAAAGAACACGGCACTGCTTAAAACATCTCACTGAGAAAGGCTGCAAAGGGAGCCCCGGCTCGGGGCGATGGGCCTCACATCTAGACAGGCTTCCCCAACCCTCGGCTCAGAAATAGGCTGTGCTTCAAAAGAGAAGACCAAGAGATAGACTTGGGCCACATCAACAGTGGCTGGTTGAGGCCACAGGTTCTCAAGAGAGAACAGTCAGCTTATCACAGGATCTGATGTTGACTGCAGTTGAAAATTAATGCCACACCTGTGTGGTACGCTGGCCCTTTTGTCTTTGTACCCTTCTGAACTCCCACGGCCAGGGCCAGGGACGGGATCTAGCTGGGGCAGTCTGCAATGGGGTGGGACACCTATGTTTCTGACCCTGTCCCTGTTTGTAGCTTAGCAGTGAGCAGATTCTGAGCATAGGCACAGTGGCAAAGAACAGTGTAACAGCCGCTGGTCAATTCCATTTGGTGGCAGCACGGTAGCAGCAAAGAAAATCCCCAAACAGCTCTATGTGTATCCAGCTTTTGGAAAGGAAAGATTTAAAAATCAATAAACAGATTCTTTATAATACCCAAGGGTTTTAGAGTTTCTCATAACTGCTCTACCCAAAACAACAACAACAACAACAAAACAAAAAACATATACAAGTATGGAGTAGTGTGAAAGCAGAAGTGCCATGATGCCACCTTTCAAGAGGAAAATGTGACCTCAAGACAGATTTGTCACCATCAGAAATCATAATAATAATATAAAAGAATCTATTGTTTCCTAAAGTGTTGAGCCACACACTTGGAGATACATTCCAAATTGGGTCAGAAATGAACGGAGACACTGATACAGTCACAAAACCTCCTATCAGGAGCCTGACCCTGCAGCACGCCACAGGTTGTCAGAGCAGTCACACCTGTCAGGAGACAGGCTCCTATGACTCGCTCCCATTTCTCACCACTGCCCCCCCACCCAGGTTCTAGAAAATTGTCATATTTATCTTCTTAGATAATCTAAGACAATAAAAGACTAAAAGATGTCTGGAAATATGTTGTGTAGAAAAATTAACTCTCAGCTTAAAATAACATTCAAAAAGGCACTTCATCCTGTAGGAAAGAGATTCTGAGTTGGGTCAGCTGCTCTGAGCTGGGATAGAAGGGGACAGGTTGTCTGCTTGGAGGGGAGGACAGTTGAAAGGAAGTCCGATAGATATCAAGCTTTTTTTCCCCCCATTTTTTTCTTTTTGGTACATTTTAAGAAAAGCAAGTCCAGTAAAATGCATGTCCCTTTATGAAATTCGTTAAAAGAGTTCATTTTAAAATAGTTGTTTCTGTTCTTAAAAAATAAAACAGGTAGGTATGGCCACATTCACCCAGTGGTCTGGAGCACGGAGTGTCCTCACTTTCAGCTCCCAGGGAGCTGAGGCCAGGCAGGTCCCCAAGGCCTGAGGTTCCAGAGTGCACAGGCGGGAGGTGGGCAGAGGCCGGGGCTACCTATTGCAGAGTCTGTGCAGCATGCTGTACACGTCGTCTTCCCGGCTCAGGCCCTCAAAGAAGGGGATGAGGTCCAGCAGCTCTGTGTCCGTCATGTCATCGAACCAGGACTGCACAGGCACCTGGAAGACAGTGTGTGGTGGGGGCAGCAGAACTGTATCCAGGGCTGGGGGCTGTTCCTAGCCTGACTGGGTCCCTGAACTTTCAACATTTTGTTTGGTAAGGAGGACAGGCATCTAGAAATCATCATCATCATCATTTTCTTTGTTCCGTGGTCCCAACTAAGATCAATCCAAAGCTACCTAGTTCAGGAGATGGCTCAGGAAGGCAAAGTTAAGTGTACCCAGGTTGCGTGCATTTGTCTGTTTTGTTTTCCTGCCAGAGAAAACGTGGCCAGAGTGCAGAATATATGAGAACTAGCCTTGCTACTTGCAGATTTCAAAAAGCTCTTTCCGCTGCATCCAACCAGCTCCTTGCACGTCACAGCACTTGGAGTCAGAGGTTACCTGCCAACCACCGACACCAGGGAGCCCATGAATAGGGCATAGGAGGGCTTCCACTTGGGGTCATTGTGCCACACTGCATAGCAAAGAGAAGTGGAGACTTTCCTCCCATGTTTAGCAGTGACCAGGTAAAAGCAGAAGTATAAAATTTCAGGACATTCTGAAGCCATGGGCAAAGACAGAACTTTTCCTTAGTTTTAGACAGAGGGGTGGGGAGGGGTAGTAATGGGTGATAGCCAGAGGAGCAAAGAAGAGATTTAAAAAGAAATTTGGGGAAACCAAACAAGTTTAAAAGTAATATTTTTGACCCTTTTACAAATCTAAAGACCACTTAGAAACATAACAATTCATTATGTAATTAAAAAAAATAAACAAGGTAAGGATTAATAAAAAAATGACTACTTCTAGGTGAAGGGGCAAGAATGGGAGAAAGGGTGGAAATGGACACCAGCCTTCTCTAAATTTATCTTTGTTGATAGTTTTGATGTTGGAACCACGTAAATGTGTTACATAGTAGAAATAAAATTAAACCATTAAAAAAAAGCAATAAAAAAATGAACCTAAGTGTATATAAAGTTGGTGACATAACCACACAGAGAATTATTTCAAGTGATTTTAAAACATAGTCTTCTGTCTGTACATTTCTCCAAAACACCCTAAAGGGATCCAATTGTCTTATCATCAGTAATAATATTAATACTGCTATTTTGAAACTATTAAATATCTACTATAGAATAAATCAAATAGGTAATGATGTTAATATCTTTAGGAATCAAGAGTTTCAGCATAAGAGAAGGAGATACAAATACAAAAACAAAGAAATTAAATAAAAACTCTGTTATAACATTGAGTTGAAAAAACCAATATGAATTTATGATTTAGTCTGCATTCTAAAAATGTGTATATTTTAGCTCTGTCCAGTAGAAAGGGCTAGAAGCAAAGAATATTCCAGTAACAGTAAGAACCCACCTAAATTGTGGTCTTACATACCATTTCCACTAATAGGAACCAGGCTACGTAGAAAAATGGCTGATTCTGAGGCTGAAGCAAGAAATGGACAAGATGAACCTGGAACATCTGGTTGTACCAGAAAGCAGGATGCTATCAAAGACTACTGTAATTTGAAGAGATGTCCACTGGCCAAAGGTGAACATTGGAGCACACGAAAGCATAATAAATGGATTAAATTGTAAAGGTAAAAAAAATCTGTAAGTTCCTAAAAAAAAGTACCTAAAAAAATTCATTGGTTACTTTTGGCAGTTGCTAGAGCACAAACTTATGACTCTGAGACTTGCAGAGGTGAAGAAAAAGAATCAACACTTTACCCTGACTTCCCTATCCAAACATTCCATTTAAAAAAAATAGAATTCCAGCCAATAAATGCAGAAAGAATGATAGAATTTAGAAATGACCATTTTGCAATTCCTAATGAAATAGTGGATGTAAGCAATGATAATCAACCACTGCTCAGATTTTTAGGTGAAGGGTTGATGGGGAATTTTAAAATGGATGGATCAGGCTAACACCACCTGAATTCACAGATCAATTTAAAATCTTTAGAAGTGAGACAACCTGACATGATATGCCCCCTGATGTGATATCACAGTAAATACACAATACCACCTATGATGTATTGTTGAAAAAAAAAATTGAACCTGAATATAATCAAGTAGTAGCGATCTAACGACTTGTTTAACGGAAATACGGTGGCTAGAAAAACAGATTAAACACCACCATGAGGCTGCAACTATACAAATCCAGAATCTAGGAAATTTCTCCAAGACAATCAGAATTTCTTCAACAAATAAACAGCATGGAAGATAAAGGAAGAGGCGTGGGAGAAGTGTTAAGATTATAAGAGAATTAAGAGACATATTAACCAAAGCAATGCATGGACCATGTTTGGAGTCTGATTCAAACAATCCAAATGTAAGAAAACATTTCGAGATGATAGGGAAAATAGGAACACAGTCTGGATATTAGATAATATTAAGAAACTGTTAGTTTTATCAGATGTGATAATGGATATAAAAAGCAATCCTTATCTGTTAGAGACACATTACAAAATGCATTATGTTGAATTTGATTAACTCATTAAAATGAACATATACATAACATAAATATAATACATTTTGAATGTTTATTCAAATAATGATTACACACCAACTGAAGCTAGTTTGAGCTCATTTTTTCGTTACAAGTGGAGCAGCAGAATTCTGGACTCAAGGAAAGCACCTTGTGTAGGCTTTTGCTGAGTCTGAGAAGCCTGGGCTTGAGAGGAAGCCTCCTCTCCAGGGAAAGCTGCCTGAGCTGAGGGCCTGGTACGGTCAGCAGTCACCGGGGGGCTTGGTGATCTCTCTTCCACTGGAAACACAGGGTGGGAGGTGGGAGGGCATCTCTCTCCTGCTCTGAGAGTTGTGCTGCACCCAGTGAGTAGGCACTAAAAGCTGCCATGCTCCAGGGAGTTTTAAGTAAGAATGTTCCCACTGTGTATTTTTTAGACATCATTATAAGGTGGTAAAGCCTTGCAGCCTTATCTGAAGACCTTATTGAAGTGTTCTATTCATTCTTGTTTAAGAAATATTTCTGTTGAAGAGGTCGCTCAGGCCTTCTGAGTCTACAGGGTCATGAAGCCCTGGGCAGCAGCCAGCTCCAGGAGGTTAATGACAGACAGAACCCTTCTCAGTAACAATGCTAAAAATGCTAAGAAGAAGACGTAGGCTCACTGAGCACTTACCCACTGCAAGCACTGTTCTAAGTGCTTTTCATGTACTGCCACACTGAATCCTCCAATAATCCTATGACATCAGCATTCACATAATTTCCATTTGACAGATGAGGCAACTGAGGCTCAGTGAGGTTAAATAACTTGGTTAATGTCATGCAACTGCTAAGAAGCAGAGTTGGGATTTCACCAAGGAAAAGGCCAAGAAACCCTGCACAGGGCTTGAAGGTACAAAAGTGGTGCTTGCCTGGCAAGATAGAACTCAGATGGAGCCCTGCATTCTTTTTCTTTGGGGCTACTTACTGCATTCTCAGGATGGAAGATGTACGAGGCTGGAGAATTGTCGACAATGATCACTTTGCTCAGCTCTCGTCCAAGGCGACTCAGGTCTTTCACATAGTTCCCACGATGGAAAACACAGGATTCTCTGAAGAGCCGGGCCCGGAACACACCCCAGCGGTCTAGCAGGTCAGCCACAGGGTCTGCATACTGGAAAGCAGGTGTCACAATGAAGGCTGGCTGCCTGAAAGAGCCCCAAAATCCTAACCTACTGCAGCAAGATCCATATTACTTTTCTAAAAATGGATTTAAATAATTGGATGTGTTTTAGGATCCTGGTTATTTTCCTCTCCATGCATGTAAGACATCCTGGATTCTTCCATTCCTCTCACTTCTCATATCCAATCCATCAGAAATTCTTTTCAGTTCCATCTCCAAAAATGTCTTGAATCCACCTGCACCTCTCTATTTATATTGTCACGGCCCTAGTCCAGGCCTCTGTAATCTCTGGCCTGGGGTGGCTGTGTGAGCCTCCTAAAGAGTCTTTCTCTTCCCCTTGGGCCTCCTTTCCAGCCTATTCACCTCATAGCTGTCAGAGCAGCCACTGGAAAACACCCATCAGATCACGTCACTCTTTTGCTTAAAACTCTCCACTGTCTACCTGCCGTACTTGGAATAAGGCCCACACTCCTTGCTGTCACCATATCCCATATGGCTGCAGCTGCATGATATCTGCAACCTCTCAGCTCCATCTCCAATCACTTGAACCACAATGGCTTCGAAAAACGGTCAGAACCTTTGCACCAGTGTTCCCTCTACACGGAATACTCTCTTCCTAGCTCTTTGCATGAACCTCTCCCTCTGTCTCCTTATTTTTCAGATCTTGGCTTCGCTTACCACCTATCTAGGGTCCGCCTGCATCTTCCTTTCTGGCTGCAGGATGCAGGGCTACCGGGCTACAAGCAGCTCTCTATTGCCTCACAGTAATTTCCTTCACAGAGCTGGTCACCACCTGGGATTACTTTATTTCCTCTTCACTTGTCAGAGCCCAGACCTTGCCTGTCATGTTCACCATGATATCCCTGGCACTTTGCAGAGTGCCCACCTCATGGTAGGGGCTCAGTAAACGCTAGTTTCATCAGTGAATGAATGAGCAGGCTTCGAATTTGGCTTGTGCGACATGAGGCCACATTGCCCCCTAGAGGTGCTCTGGGCAACTGGGCCAGAATAGCCCCTGACTGTCACAGGATGGTGCCCAGACACCCACTTCCACTTATTTGGAGGCCAGGAGTTTTATGGGAGGGAGGTTGAGCCCAGCTCACAGATGGGATTCATCCTGCTTGGCCCTCTCTCATGGCCAGGGGAATTTTCCCCAAAGCAGGCTGAAGTGGATAAAGAAATAAAGGGGTCCTTCCTGGGGGAAAATCTTCATAAATGAAGATGTCTAAAAGACTGGGCCAGACTGAGTGGCTGGGGCTGGAGGCAAAAGAGTGGCAGTTCCAAGCCCAATGTGAGGCCAGGCCTCAGCACCAAGACCAAAGTGAGGGGCACACTCAGGTGTCACCAGGGGCCCAATGACTCTGCCAGGGAGGCGGGAAGCACCTGAGGCTGGTGGTGTTGGAAAGGCCAGCAGTGGAATGGACAGCAGCCCCTGAGTGCAGAGCAAATGGCGGCATGGCTGCAGCGTGCAGAGCTACAGGGCTACAAGCAACAGCTCTGATCCAATGGGAAAGCCCTCCTTTCTCCAGAGACATCCTGAGGGAGGCAGAATCCAGGAGCAGGCTGTATTTCCTGCTGATCAAGTGGGGTGAGAGCTCAGGGCACTGTCGTTTTCTGCTGGTGAGGGTAGCCAAGCACCACGTGGGTGGGTTATAGGGGGCTGACTCTAGATGGAAAAGATGATTAATTTCCTTGTAATCATTAACACTAGTGGTGGCATACATCTTTCAAGGGAGTGTCTGAGTTTGGGGGCTCCAGGCCTTAGAGATGAGTGTGGGGAATGTAAGCTTCATGAGGGCAGGGACTTTGTCTCTTTTGTTCTCTGCTGTATCCCTAGTGCTTAGTACAGTGCCTGACATACAGTAGGTACTAAGTAAATATTTGTTGGGTGAATGAATGAATTAAAAAAACTAAGGAATGAATTAAAAAAAAAACTAAAAAATGAGGAAGCAGATATTGAAGGGCTCTGACAGTCAGCTTAGGGTTCCTATAGGCCCCTGGGCAGCAGGCCAGGAGGTCCACTGCACCAATGGTGCTGACTGGAAGCTGAGCCCAGGGCCAAAACCTGGGCAGTGCCCACCTGTCAGCAGAACTTGGGCATCAGGGAGGAAAGAGGCTGGAAAGCTGCACTTGGGAGCCGGTTTGGCTGAGCCAGGCTAGAGTAGCAGCAAGAGAAGGACTGGAGAGACAGATGGAGAGGCAGGTGGGAGCAGTCCAGGAAGAGAGCCTGAACAAGGAGGTTTAAGTTAGTGCTGGGGACAAAGCCAAGGAAGAGTGTTTTCACTTTTGCCAAAGAAAAAACAACTCTCAGTCCACAGACACCGGTGTAATCTTCCTGTTTGTTATTTCTTTGGTTATCGCTTCAGGCTCCTCAGCACCCCAGAGCACTGTCAGCAGAGCCATTGACACTACAATGCAATTAGTCTTGGTACCACTCATCTGAAAGAGTACCCAATGGAGAAGATTATGTTTTCTCTGAGGCCACGTTCTCTTTTTAGTATGCAAAAGTAAGGCCCAGGTTTTGGATTCCCTTTCTACTGGCTCATGCTTTAAGGCTTGTCAATGGGCCTGGCAGAATGTTGGATAGGTGGGGTTTTCTCTCACCTCGGCCATGACAGAGAGATGGCCCAAACCAGGAATGCCCAGGCTGGCAGAGCAGTATGTCTGGGGATCCAGAGTTAGAGCCCCCAACATGCTGAGGAGAAGGGAGCCGTCCACAGACAGGACATGGGCAAGGAAGCTGCATGAGTCCTTGCAGCAGGTCTGGAGACAGGGAGATGGCTAATCTGGGCCCCACAAAGCTCATCTTTGGGGCTACTCAGGTCCCTGAGGTGCCCATGGAGACACTAGTGGTGCCACCAACACATGGATGGTGTTGGCCCCATCAGAGTCAGGGTTTGAGAGATGGTCATGGCAAGGATTTCTTCTGAGGAGGAGATGCCTGCCCTGTCTGCCCTATACACAGCACAGGCCACTCAGTGGACCGGTGAAAGGATAGACTAAACCATATTGGGCGTCCTGTGAACCTGTTAGGCTAGTTCCCTTAAACAGCGGGAGAGGGCAAAGAAACCACTCTATATGGTCACAGCCAGTGTAGACACTGGGTCAGAGATTTATACCAAGCTACAGGACCAAAACATGTGAATTATTTTATCAATAATTATGATAATAAACAATGAACATCAGGAGCACTTACCATGTGCCAGTGCCCAGCACAGCATATGGAACACAGCAGGTGCTCCATGAATACTTGCTGAATATGAGTCAGACACTGTGCTAAGCCCTTTACATGTGTCATTTCATTTGATCCACCCCACAAGGTAGACGGAATTATCCTCAATTTATAGAAGAAACTGAGGTGAGAGAAGTGAGTAACTTGTCTGAGATCACAGGCTCGTTAGGGCAGTCAGAACTCTCATTCGGCCCATGCATGTGGGAGAATCTCTGACACTATCTCTTCCCCAAACCTGTGTAAGCTAACCGAAGGGCACACAGGCCTGAGCCTCTAGCATGTGGTTGCAGACAACAGGTGAGATGCAGATGCCCTTTCTCGGTTACGCTGTGCGTCTGTAATTTCCTGGTCTGTGTACAACCAGCTTTAGGCGGCGGCATGCAGCAACTTCATGGAGCATTTGTTCCAAGTGCTCCCTGTCACCATGGTAACCCAGAAGCCTTTCAGGCTGGCGCTGTGCACATGGCCTGCATCCATCCCATCTGAGGTGGAAACCTGTCACCATAGAAACAGCTTCCCCCACTTTAACAAAGAGCTGCTTGACAGGGGGTAGGGGTGGAGGAGCTGGGGGCACCAGACTGGGAGCTCCTGGCTAGGAGCAGGACTCACCTTGGCCAAGCTGGCAGTAAAGAGCACACACTCAAAGAGCTGCCCCATCCTCTGGAGGAACTCGTCCACATGTGGCCGCTTTAGCACATAAACCTGCAACGGCAGGAAACAGCAAGCTGGTCAGTCACAGCAGTTGCTGGGGATGGCCTAGGGCCTAAATACCCAGTATAGGGAGAACTCCTGAAAAAGTTCCTGCCTCCTGCCCCCAGGTCTATGTGTGGCACAGAGGCTCAGACTGCATGAGGGGCTATGTAGTCAGGTGTGGAACTTCAGGCCAGGCATACTCCTCAGACTGGGCTCCAGGGCTGAGTTCAGTGCAGAGGCCCCTCCCAGTGGAGGAGGAAAGCTGATCATGGTACTGAGGGTCTTGGGGATTTTCAGAACCAGTGAGTGGAAGGGTTGTGCCATGTTTGTGTGAAATGACTCATTCATTTCACATGTGTTTCTCTGCACATGCTCTGGGCCAGGCCCTATGTAGACACAGGCCATGGTCTGGGGTTGTTCTTTTGGAGGTCCAGGCCTGGCCCACTGCCTGGCGGGTCTGAGACTGCTCCAGCTGCCACCTTTTACTCTGATCGGAACACCTCCCACGCTAGGAAGGCCTGGGGTGGAAGCGAAGGCCCAGCAAAGCTGCAAGAAGTGCCTTCCTTGTCGGCTTGAGAAGCTGTCTACTTGACATCACAAAGGTTACTCTGCTTGGGTTTGGTATAGAAACAGATACTTCAGGGGATGTAAAGCCTGGCTACTCCCAGGCCCGAGAACCCAGTGTCAAGGAGGGGCCTTGAGCAGCAAGGGGGAAAGAGTAGGCTTTCCTAGAGTGGCTGGGCTCAGTGCTCCTGACAAGGAGCCTGAACAAATCTGAGGAAACAAGGGAGATGGGATAGAAGGCAAAGCTGGTGAGAGAAGACAGAGGAGGTGGGAAGACAGAACTAATTAAAACTTGAATAAATTCCACTTGAAATTAGCCACTTCCCTAAAATAAATCAAACTTGTTAAAATTCAATTCAGTTCACATTCACTGAGCCCGAGCTCTGTGCTCAGCCTGAAGCAGTTACAAAGATGAATAAAACACAGGCCTTGCCCTTGAAGAGCTCACAGTCTAGAGCAGATATATGCAAAATATATCCAAATAAACAAGGCATAACCAAGTTGTAGTAGAGGGACAAATTAAGGACAATTAACTCCTCTCTCAAGGGGAGGGAATCATAGAAGGTAACATTTGGCCTGGACCTTGAAGGACGAATAGGAGTTCACCAGGACGATAAGGATTAGACGAGAGCTTTCAGGCAGAAAAAACATTACGAGCATGAGACCTGGCCTGAAAACACTTGGGGTGTTAGAGAATGGTCAGAGCCCTGCATGACCAGCCCTGCAGAGACAGTGATAAAAGAGAAGGAGATGGGGGAATAGGACAGCAAGTGGCTGAAGATGAAGTGTGAAAGGCGGATCAGGGTTGTGCGTGGGGCCCTGAATGGCGGTTGGAGCAGGCTGGACATCCTACAGGGGGAGTAACAAAGGGGAAACGGGGGCTCTGTACCACACAGAGGATGCACTGCTGGCACAGGAATTCCACACAGAGCCAAGACTTGGTAGGAAACTCATGGCCGACTGAGAGTGGGGTGAGTATGGGTCTGTGGCCGAGGGTGTAGTGAGGAGCCAGAGGAGCAGGATGGCCTGGGGTGGGTGCCAACAGGCCTCTGAGGAGCAGGAGGCTGGGGTGGGGCTGAAGGCAGGGCCTGTGGCTGCAGGAGCTCCAGGCCTCCACTTTGCCCATGAAGATTCCTCATGCCAGGGAACGGGTGCAGCCTGCAGTACTGTCTCCCTGGGAACACTGCTTGGAAAGCAAGCTTTGCTACATGCAAAGGGGAGGAGATTGATTTGGGAACTCTGGCGTTGGTGCCTCTGGCAGAGAGGAAGGTCCTGGGCCCAGATGCCGGCGTCCAGGCCCGCGTCCCCGTGCAAGTAACCAAGAATAGGCCCATTGGGACCTGCACAGCCTATCCTGGATTACTTGAACGAGGCCACGGCCTTCGCCAGGGCCTTGGTCCTCCTCTTGGCGCCTGTGGCTTCATTCCCTCAGGAGAGAGAGTTTCTGACCCCAACCCTGGGGCCCTGGGGTATCTATTGCCAAGTGAATCATAGCACAGTCTGGAGGGAGCCTGAGGGAGCTGGGGTGGCTCCTGCAAGAACGGGCTGGCCACAGCAGGTTAAGCCCCAAGGGTCATGCTCATAGTCACGAGGTAGGAAGGATTAATTTCTCTCCTAATTCTTGCCATACCGGTGGGCAGCCTCTCCTTTGTCTCATTACTTTATAACACAGCAAAGATAATAAATGCAGAAGCCTTAACTGCTTCTCAGATGCTGAGTTAATTCAGTTGATGCTTTTGCAAATATTAAATGCCCAAGTGCCTGCTGTTTTGTCTCCCTAATGGCTTTTAAAAGCATGAAGTGTGGAGACCTAGGGACACAGCTGCTTTTCCCAGGGAGGGCTTCCTGGCAGGACCTCCTGGAGAACAGGCCAGAAGGCAAGGGCAGGGGAGGGGAGGGACTCGAGCATCAGGAAAAGAGCCCTGGGCCAGGGGCAGGAGACGGATTCTCATTTTAATTCTTCCCATTGTATGACCTTGAACCAACCCTGTCTCTGGCTGAGCCTCAGTTTCCCTACCTGGACAATGAGGTGGCTGAACCAGCTGATTTCCAAGGCCTCGCCAGCTCTGACACTCTACAATTAAGACCCAGAGAGAATACTGACATTGTTAAGGAAAGATACCCTGTTATGGCTCAAGCACCAGGACAGATTTTTCCTTCCTGGGATATAAACACATCAGGCCAGAGACTCTCCCTTTAAGACCTGGGGGTTGACAAGGAAGATGGTCAGATCATCCCTGTGGAACACCTGACAAAAGCTCCCCCACTCTTCAGCCTCCAAGGCTAGCTTTCCTACAGTGTTTCTAACATGTTCATAAATGAAGCTATTCCCAGAGGAGATTCATACAGATAAGGAAAAATATTTGAGCAAAGATGCATGCCAAATGACTAGGGCATCTTTATTCAAAGCTTCCTATTGATCCAGAAACACACCCTTCCCCCTTTCTCTTTTGGGTTAAGTTTTTGCTCAAGATGCACTGGAGAACACGATGCAGGAGTGACAAGATCAGTCTGGAGTGGCTGGCATTGGAAATGGACACCTTTTCCCGACAATCCACCATAAGTGGGTGACTTGTGGCATTTTCCTGTTGCCTGCTAGGAGAGTAGCCGAAAGCAATTATTTGAGAAAGTTAATTAGACCATCAAGCTAGGCCAGTGGGGGATATGGAAACTTCGAAAAGTCTGCATCAAATCAGAGAACTATTTGAACTTGCAACCACATTTAATATTTACAAACAGATTATAGTTCCCTTACAAACTCATTATAAGATAAATTCATCTGTGTGAAAAAAAGCAGAAAACCATTGTATTTATTTTACAAAGTCTGCTTCCTTTTGATTCAGTAATAAAATTATTACTGAAATGGGAATTTAGAAATGAAATTCATAGGAAATATAATTACTAAAAAATGCTAACTGAAACTCTGATTTAGCTTTGATTTCTTACCTGATGTATAGTTCCATCAATTTCAACCGGAACAATAAAATCAGCATTACTAATAGGCTAGAGAGAAGAGAAACTATAATTAATACATCTGAAAGAATGAAATAAAATCGGAAATTTTAGCAAGGAAAAAGCTTGCCTGTACCAATGTTTTATTATTGGAAAAAACAGTTCAGGAGAAGGATGTTGAAGCATGCCTTGGTTCCTTAAGCGCAAGCAGGAAAGCACATTATTTTCTGCTCCAAATATTGTTACATTTTCAGCATCTTGGTCCAACCTCTTTATCACCTGCCTGGCTTCAACAACAAAGGGAATGGGGCTTCTCAGAAACTCCAGCTCTTACCTAAAGCCCTGCCAGGAAGACGGGGAATCACTGCTGACCACCAGGGGGAGGAGGTGAGAGCCCGATGATCCCAGAGGACAGAGCTACTTGGGGGAAAATAATTTATATTGGACCCACAGGTGCGGGCTGCCCTGTGATGTATTTTAGTTCACTTCATGGCATATTCAGTGTCCAATGTCAACTAGTTAGCCCTTGGGCAGGCTCTCCCCCTCTCCGGACCTTGGTGTCTCGTCTCTTCCATAGCCATAGAAATGGGTCTGGTGAGTGTCCACAGCTCCAGCCAGTCCTGAGCATCACTGATTTCCGGCCTTGCCTGATACTGTCTTCTGTCATAGGGGGTGAGGAGAGCCAGCTCACCCCAGACTGCTCTGCTCTAAGTAACACAATACCCAGCACACTCACAAACTGCTGGATATTCAAAATAACTTCACAATATTAATGACATTCAAAGTTCAAATATGATTCCTCAGCCGTCACTATGTTCTCAATGATGGACTTACATACAGTTCTAAATGGAATTCCACAAATTAGGTAGAAAACTACCCAAATGAAAAGGCCCAAGAGAATCGTCAGACTGCAAACCCTTGGGACAAGTAGGAGAGATACGGAGGGAAGTGGTGGCTATTGGGTAGGGATGTGGAGTGGGGTATGCAGTATGGAGTCTCTGGTCAGACTGTCAACTGGGGTCTGCCTTTAAGCCCATCACTGTACACACACATCTTCTTCTTTGATATGTAAAGTGGAAAAATGTGGAAAATACTAGATCATAGAACAATTACCAAATACTCAGTAGAGCACCTGAAGCTTAAGATTACAGTTTATTCACTCCAATGGTTGGAAGGCCAAGGATGAATTAAATATTTTATAATTTCACAAATAAAATACAGAATCATGCTAAAAATCAAAAGGAAAGACTGAAGGAAGAAACTCTCACAAGGCATTAGATTGCAAAAACCTATTCCATAGAGTATATTAAAAGAGAAAATCCATTCCCAAGCTCCTAGCAAGCACCCGTCCCCGATCTCTTTTCACATGCTGGTGTAAATGCAGCCATGCCAAAGCCAGGGTTCTTAACCTGGGTCCATGAGCCTGTGTGTTGTATAGTTGTACATTTTCAATGAGGGAGGTTCACAGCTTTCGGATTCTTAAAGGGCTTTGAAATGCCCAGAATATTACAAACCATACAATAAAGAATATTCTGCTTGCAAATGTAGGCTGGCCAGGGAGGCAAGAAATGAAGAGATGCTGTTCTCATCAGCTTGTCACATCAATGCCCTCTGAGCAGGCCCTGGAGACACCAAGGGCCGCCAAGCCTTCTCCTTTGGAACCAGGAAGCCTCAGTAACCTTGGGCGGTCTGGCCAGTGTTGCCCACGCTCCCAGAGCTGCTTGGGAGGAAGCTGTCTATGCTGGATGGCAACTGACCCCTGCTCTAACGGGCTTACCTCCAGAGGGCCTTGAAAATGTCCTGAGCAACTTGCCCACAGGGGAGAAAAGGCTTCCAATGCTGTTCAGAGCTGAGCTGGGACATGAGGTCACTGCAGCCCTGGGACCAATCGTGGAAGGGCCCTCAAGGTGCTGGGGAATGAGGTGGTACCCACATGCCCCATGGGCAGACAGGCTATTTCTCACTGCTCGAGGTAAGTGTGGCCTCTCCTCCACTCTCCCAAAGGACTCAAAGACAACCACCTGGCCTTGTCCTGTCAAGGAAGGCTTCTGTTTAGTGAGAAAAAGGCAGAAGGATGTTTCTGGCAGACAGGTCTTCAGGCAAATTTGATGGCTCTTCCACTTCCCATACAACCGTTAAGGAATGACTATGGTTCATGTGAGACACACACCCCATCATGGATGGTGCCTTTCATGTCTCTCAGTGAAGTAAGGGGACTCACGGGCTAGGGGTAAAAACAGGAATGTGGTCTAACTGGCCACCGATAGTAGAGCAGTTCCACTGCCAGAAATACCCCAAGGAAAATAGGACCAGGACCCTAAACACCTGCTGCTTCTCTCCAGCACACCAACCCACTATTTCCAAACTTTTTCATCATTTACCTCTTTTAAACAATTTATTCCATTCAAAAAATGGAAAAATGGCTAATTAACTCATTTCTTAATAGTGTAGCCACAAGCTCTTCCTGCATTAAGGCCCTTTGGTAATTTGTAATTTTTGTTGTTATTCTAGTGGGGAGATGGAGAGTGAGGAAGGTGACAGAACTATGACTGTCTGATGCTCACTTTGACATCACTGGAGCCCCATACCCTTCATGAGAGAAGGCATGCAACTGGATACTCATTTAGCTATGAAGCTCATAAAACACCCCAGCAACCTCTTGTCATGAAAATGGTCAAAATAAAAATAAATGGTTGAATTTGTTCAGATGCTGTAACATTGGGAGTCTTCAGAGTTGGATATCTTTCAAAAATTGGTCTGGGAAAACTTCCAGGATGGCAGGTTGCTTGACAGTTTTCAACAGTGCCTCCCTTGTCACTCCCAATAAAACATAGAGCACTCTGGTTACCTTGACAAATACACCTTGGTACACTGACTGCCTCGTGCCACCTGAAAAGTATTTCTGCAAGGGCCAGAGTGTTGAAAAACTCAAATCGCATAAGTAAGAATGAGGTCTCAGTGATACTGGCAGCCCAGTGGTTTTCTTCCAAACTAATTATGTTGATATTCAAGTACTTGAGTTAATGTTCACCTGAGTTAATAAGCAACTCTTATTGGACTTCTTCATGAACAGTGAAGTCATACACCAACAACCACAAGCTTTCATCCCTTTTATTTTTCCTTTTCCAATACAGTTGTGACCAAATCACAAAGATCATTGATTGTTTTTTACGTTGATTTACCTTAAATGAACTGTGCACCAATGTTTCATCTAAATCAATGACCACACATTTCTTTCCATAGTCAAGCACCGTCACCTCTGGAAGGAGGTATTTAGCTGGTGGCTAAAGGTGGAAAAAAATCAATATTATTACCTTTACGTAAAAGACAAATCAATTCCCTTATTATTGTATTATACTTTGTCAATAAGGTTATAAATGAAACCAAACATTTAAATGCCTGGTCAACTATATCATGGAATTTTATTAAAAGCAACAGGAATAAGTAGTTTGCAACTGAAGTTTTACCAAACAAATACTGTGCCATTGTCTGAATGGCTATTATGAAGACCTAGGCTTTAGAACCAGACAAACCTGGGTTTGAATATCAGCTCTGTCTCTTTCTTGGCTGTAAGTTGTTGCTGTAAGGACAACAATACCTACCGTAAAAGGTTGTTTATCAGCTATAATTGCGGTAAAATGCCCAGCATTCTGCCTGGCACATATATGGTGGTTATTGTTATTATTAAAATGGACTACAGGAAAATGAACTTTTTTTTTTTGTTTTTTTTGTTTTTATTTTTTGTGAGGAAGATCAGCCCTGAGCCAACATCCATGCTAATCCTCCTCTTTTTGCTGAGGAAGACCGGCTCCGAGCCAACATCTATTGCCAATCCTCCTCCCTTTTTTTTTTCCCCCAAAGCCCCAGTAGACAGCTGCATGCCACAGTTGCACATCCCTCCAGTTGCTGCACGTGGGACGTGGCCTCAGCATGGCCGGAGAAGCGGTGCATCGGTGCGCGCCCAGGATCCAAACCCGGGCTGCCAGCAGCGGAGTGCGCGCACTCAACCGCTAAGCCACGGGGCTGGCCCTGAACGTTTAATTACAATAGCTACTCTACTATGCAGGCCCATTACCTGTGGTCATATTTTGCCCGAAATTCACTCTAATACATAAGTATATATTGGAACCACAGTATTTTTTTTTTTAGTGGACTGAAATTTTCAAAAACCTGAAGAGAAACTGTAGACCCACCAGCAAAATACAAACCAAAGTGAATAAGAGGAGACAGAAATAAAACTCTACAGGTACAGTGCCCTGCCTGTGCCTGTCCCACTGTGGTATAGCACTAAAAGTGTGGCATTTTTACCCCTTGGATTCTCTGTCTCTGGAAGTTATACTTTAATCCACATGCTGTGTTAACCATAAAATCTATTTATATGTCTCTTAGTAGCTGACTCTAATCTCGTGATAAAGAGGTCATAAAGAGTTAATAAAATGCTAGATATCTTCAGCCAACCTCATTCTTGATTTAAAGTATTTATTTCTTTGGGCCTTGCCTCATTCTAGAAATGATTTGAAGTATTTTAGTTTACCTTGTGGCATGTTCAGTGTCCAATGTTAACTAGTTAATTTTCTGTCCTGGAAGAAGGTCAAGCTCTGTTCAATATTTAACACAAAACAAAACACAAGAAAATATCCGTCTCTAGCCACTGAAGAATGGACAATTTAGCTTATCAAAAAAAGCAAGAAAAAAAATGAAATCAAGAGACATTCCCTTTTCAATGGCTATTTCCTTTTTTTTGGTTTAAACTGAACATTAGTCAAGGATCTAGAGCTAATTTTGGACTTTAGCTGGTTCAATAGAGAATGTAACACAGGTGGCCCACAGGTTAGATAAATTTGCAAGTGCAATGATCATCTTGGCAGGGAGGGACTGTCCAGGGCTGACCAGGATGAGGCTATGTGGGGGAACACAAGCATTTCTAATTCTAGAGGGGCTCTCTCTAGGGAGTGTGGGTGTTCATCTTCTCCAACATCATCCAGAAGACAAAACCTTTATGGCTTCCCAGCTCCTTTGGTTCTAAATAAAGCTCACCAAGCAGTATTCCCTAAGTCCCTGTGGCACTGGGAAGAGATATGCCTTAGACACAGGGCATGGGACTCGGGGTCCTAGAAAGGACTCTGTCCTTCATTATAAATCAACAAGCAAGCAGGTTATTAAAAAAATTAAAATAGAGCCAACCCTGATGGCCTAGTGGTTCAAGTTCGGCACTCAGTGACCACTTTGGCGGCCCGGGTTCATTTCCTTCTCGCGGAACCACACCACCCGTCTGTCAGTTGCCATGCTGTGGTGGCGGCTCACATAGAAGAACTAGAATGACTTACAACTTGGATATACAACCATGCACTCAGGCTTTGGGGAGGGAGAATTAAAAAAAAGGCCTCCACTCTGCAAAGCTAAGTACTAAACTGTGATGGCCGTTATTCTTAAAAAAAAAAAAGTTAAAATAAACTTGCAAGAAGAAGTTTTGTATCAAAATGTGTTTTAAAAAAGCAGAGTATGATGAGCTCTATAAGTAAACATAATGGGGAGGATTTGGGTTATTTCTGTTGTTTGGGCCATTGCAGAAAGCATGCCTGTGACTAGAATAAAATTTGTTTTAATTTTTATTATACAATTATGTAATAAAAATACATTCTCACTGTAAAGAATATAGACAAATAAAACACAATATTCCCTTTTCCATGCCCCCCATTCATTTCCCCAGATGCCCCCTTTTTAGTTTGGTGTGTATTTGTCCAGTTCTTTCTCTATGCGTTTATAAACTAAAACAACATTTTAACTTGATGTAATTGCTACTCTGGAAAATAAGGACCTAGAAATTCTATCCCTAGCATATCTGAAAACACTGCAGATCTCCCAAAAGTGGCTCATTTTCCAAACCCAAGAACAAAAATTACTTTCTTAGCATATTTAACCCACACTTTACAAGCATTCTCTGAGGTAACAGTAAGTAAAAAGCCCCACTCTACTAGTCTGAGAGAGAAAAGAGCGAGGAGGATGAGACTCATATTAAGCAAGCTATTAATTTAGCATTTGTGCTGCAGAGAACAAGGCCAGGCTGGGGCAAGGGACTGGGAGGGTTCCATTCATCCTCAGCCCGTTTCCTGAATGCACACAACTTCTCTGAGAGCTAGGCTTTAGATTAACACAAATTCTTCAGACCACTGGTAAGAATTCTTCTGGACAGCTGTGTCCTTGGAACATGCAAGGACACTACATAATTGCAATAGTGTTTTGTTACCTCAGGTGACGCTTGAATCATTAACTAAAAAATGTCCTTGGGCCGGCCCCATGGCTTAGCGGTTAAGTGTGCACGCTCTGCTGCTGGCGGCCCGGGGTTCGGATCCCGGGTGCGCACTGACACACCGCTTCTCTGGCCATGCTGAGGCCGCGTCCCACATACAGCAACTAGAAGGATGTGCAGCTATGACATACAACTATCTACTGGGGCCTTGGGGAGAAAAATAAATAAATAAATAAAAAATTAAAAAAAAAAATGTCCTGAAGCAAATTTTCTGTCAGGCCATCATAAAGCTGAAGAACAAGAGAAACACCAGCTGTATCAAGAATAGTTTTTTCTACACAAAATCATTTGCTCCAAAAGCACAAGGAGAGCATTGCCAGGGGAATGGAGGGGTTAAGGGGTGGGCAGAAACCATGTAGGAGGAGGGGAAGAAGAAAGGGACCGTGGCTTGCCATCCAGTTCATTCCAGTTCTCTTCCTGGGAGTAGATGTGAAATTTCCTGTCCTTGGTAGTGAACTAGCAGCCATGAATAGTGAACTCTAAGGTTCTTTTGTTTAGAGTACCCACCCCACACACTCTCACAAATCTTACAGATGTAGTACCTCTTCTTGGTAACGTCACATTTTCGTTTTTGTACTTAAGAGTTCTCAGGTTCAGAGTCTGCAAACTGTGCTCTTCAAGCCTCAGAGTTCAGGGTAGAGATCTCAGGGTCTACAGCAGGAGGGGGTCAAAGGAAACTCTAGACTAGCCTTAACTAGACCAGTTGTTTTGTTTATAAATTCTCATAAGGTTTTGGTAGAAAAAAGGTATGTATACTACTGCTTATCAAAATGCCTGGGCAAACAGCATAGAAATATAACTGTTAGAAAACAAATTACTTCTCTCCCTTTTCACCATTTTTATGGCTGAGCTGCACTGTCAGTCTTGAGTTGTGACATCAGTGTGGTGTGTGATTCAAGCAAGAGTGTAGGAATGGTAGGAGTTGGGTCATCGCTCCAATGGCATTCCTTACTGGGGCCACAGCATTCGAGAGTTCACCTTCAGCTACGACCATTCAAACTTCAGTGGTTTCTAAACCTGTCCCTCTGCATCTTTTCCTTACTCTTCAGTACATGACTTTTATCGAACAGCCCTTGAAGCTTCCAATAAGACGTGTGGAGGGCCCCAAATCCCAGTTCATGGTTGGGAGACACATGTGATGCTAAGTGGAATGTGTAACATCAAGTCCAGATAAAGATGTCATTTCTAATAGGGGTGTAAAAGATGATTACTCAATAAATGGTGTTGAGACAACTAACTTGCCACTTGAAATAGGAAATAAAGCTGGATTGCTACTTCATGTCTTAACACCAACGTAAGTTCCAGATGGATCAAAGACTTATGTGTAATGACGGAACCATTAAAATACTAGGAGAGGGGCCAGGGGTGCAGCAGTTAAGTGCGTGCGCTCCACTTCGGCGGCCCGAGGGTTCACAGGTTCGGATCCCGGGAGCGCAAAGACGCACCACTTGTCAAGCCATGCTATGGCGGTGTCCCATATAAAGCAGAGGAAGATGGGCATTGATGTCCAGGGCCAATCTTCCTCAGCAAAAAAGAGGAGGATTGGCATTGGATGTTAGCTCAGGGCTGATCTTCCTCACACACACAAAAAATACTGGAGAAAATATGGGTCATAGTCATAAAGTAGGGAGATCTTTCTAAGCATGACATAAAATTCAGGAGTCATAAAGGATAAGATTAGGGCCGGCGCCATGGCTTAGCGGTTAAGTGTGCGCGCTCTGCTGCTGGCGGCCCGGGTTCGGATCCCGGGCGCGCACTGATGCACCGCTTCTCTGGCCATGCTGAGGCCGAGTCCCACATACAGCAACTAGAAGGATGCGCAGCTATGACGTGCAACTATCTACTGGCGCTTTGGGGAAAATAAATAAATAAATAAAATTATTAAAAAAAAAAAAGGATAAGATTAATATATTTGCCTATATAAAATTAAACTTCTTTGTGGTCAAAATAATTATAAACAAGGCCAAAAGATATACCATAAAATTTGGGAGAAAGTGCTAATTTCCTTGAAATTTAAAAGATAAAACAGAAGAAAATCTAGAAGAAATGAATAGGGAAGAAGACAGACATATATGGACAATAAACTTGTGAAAAGATGTTTATACTCATTCATGAAGAAATGCAAATCAAAGTAATAAATGATATCACTCTTTACTTTCAGATTAGCAAAGATTAAAATATTTGATAAGGGAATGGGCAATCCCATACACTCTTGGTGGGAATGTAAATTAGGTTTTCAGAGGACAATTTGGCTTTAATCTACCAAAGATGTAAAATATATCCTTTGATCTAGCATTTCCACAATTAGGAACTGATCACACAGATGATACTATCTTTCAAGTCCATAAATACACATGCACAAGAATATTTGTAAGAGAAGTATTTGTAATAGCACAGAAACAAAGTAAAACAATGAGGTAGATCACTATTCCACTAATACTTGGAAAGATGTTCCAGGTATCTTGTTAAAAGCAAAAAAAAAAATTGGGGCCAGCCTGGTGGCATAATGGTTAAGTTCACACACTCTGCTTTGGTGGCCCAGGGGTCGCAGGTTTGGATCCCAGGCGTGGACCTATGCACTGCTCATCAAGGCATGCTGTGACAGCACCCCATATACAAAATAGAGGAAGATGGGCACAGATGTTAGCTCAGGGCTAATCTTCCTCAGAAAAAAGAGGAAGATTGGCAACAGATGTTAGCTCAGGGCTGATCTTCCTCACCAAAAAAAAAAAAAAAAGCAAAAAAAAAATTCGCAAGATTTTCATTTGTATAAATATGCTTGTGTTTATTCAGACAATTTCTGAGAGGATACGTAACAAATATTAAAAGTGGTTATTCTAGGGAGTAGGACCAAGTTGAGAGACCTTTTTCTTTCTACTTTAATCTTTCAGTATTTTTTTAAACCCTAAGTTTGAATTATTGCTTAGTAAAAAATCAAAATACCAAACCTGCACATATAAACAGAGCAGCACGAGAAAGAAAAAGAGAGGTGAGGTGAGGGGCAGAGATGGGGTACTCTAGCTGGAACTACTCTGGGCACCCGCAGGCTCAGGGGCATCTTTCATCTGCAGGGCCTGGAAAATGCTTCCAGGAGGTTGTGGGGCCTGGTTTGGAGGCTCAGCACAAGCCTGGATTTCTGGTCCTGTGGTGCAGCACCCCAAGTTCTCCGGGGCTCCCAGCACTGACTAGGTCCCCCTGTGGTCCAGAAAGGGTAGGGCTACTCTGTCTGTGTGACCTGTGGCCTTGCTAGGTAGGTGCAGTTTTTGCAGGGGATCCCAAGGCTCAAATCCTGGGGCTGAGCTGGCCTCCAGAGAGTAAGCAGGCAGTGGAGATCACACTGTGCCCATCAGTGGAAATGCTTTACTGGAGGTTATCATTCCAAGATGCAAGCTACTTTACTTAGGCTGTTTTTCTGCAAGATATTCATAGATTCATAAGGCCTGACTGAGTGTCTCACATGTAAGAGGCAGTCAGCAGTTTATTGACCTAACAATGGGCTAAATTACACAAGGAATCTTCTTCCCCTTGGCTATTTTATTCCAGGATTCTAGAATGAGTCAATTTGTGGGCAAAGGGTTATTTTTCCTTAGCAGAGTTTTTACCCTGACAAATGCTTTGATTCAGTACTTAACTTTACAGATGGTTGTGAATTAACTTTGAGAAAAAACAGTGCTATCAGAGTATCGAGGTAGGGGGAGAGATGCCACCTGTCACCTGTTTAATGTAGGCAACATTGCAGAGAAAATATATGAAACTACTTTGCATTAATGTTGAAAAGAGAATTCTGGTATCAATTCTGTTGGGTATCCTATTCAAACACTGGATAAGAAGTTATGCTGCTTGATCCATCTTTTTGATTAAAATCAGTTTTCCCAACAAAGCCCAACTCCCAGGCATGCTGGCAAAGTCAGAATCACTCCACAAACCCTTGCAACTTGTTAAGCAATGGAGAGTTAAAGTTTTGAGAAAAATGAAATTATCAAAAACATTTTGGGCAATTTATAAGTGACACACATTACCAAATTTGGAGTCAACCTGTACTAACGAAACCATTCCTTTCAATGTAAGATTGCTATGTCTCTTGGATGTTCCCAGAAAATATGTGAACAAGTCCAAAGAAAGATAGATGAACAGATTTGAATCAGGCAATTTGAATCAGTGAACCTTTATGGATTAAAATAACAATTTATGGACATCTTTTAAAATCTAAATCCTTCTCTAAGGACACAGGACTGTTTGAAAGGTCTTGTGTGATATGGACATCTCAACTGCAAGTTTCTCTTGGGAGTCACTGGTCTGCTCCTTGCTGACTGGCCTAAGGCTAATGGCTCTGCTGGCAGAGCAGGAGGAAGAGAAGGAGCAGTGGGGACAGCAAATGTCTAAGAGGTGGCCAGTCCAGGCCTGTGTTGAGTTGAACACTGGTGCAGCTATTCTCCCAAATTCCAGGGCTGAAAACAGAAGTGAGCAGCCCAAGGGAGTGCCCAGCTGGGGTACAGTTGCAGCACAGCCAGCCTGTGGAAATGGGGGTGGGTCCTGCAAGTTCAGGGAATACAATTGGGGCAATTTTTCTGATCTCAGAGGCACGGCCAAGCTACTGACACTGCTGAACAAGTCAGAAATGGTCTGCTCACCCAGGACGTGGGCTTGCTGAGTCCAGTTCCAGTGGGACAGAACCTGCTGCAAAAAACCATGTCGGGGCAAAAGTATGTTCTCCCCAGTCTATGCAGCTGGGGCTAAGGTGCTCTGGTGGGGGAGTGCAGCAAGCTGCCTTAGCTTATTCAGACTTGGAGGCCCTTGGCAGAGAGAAAGGAAAGGTGAGAATTCGGTTAATAGATGCTGGTTGCCCTGCTGTTCCTGAGAAAGGAAACTCTCTCTGCACAGAACTTTCTGCTCACAGTTTAAAAGGTAGCTTCATTTTTCCTTTCAACAGAACAGAGCAACATAAGCAAGGAACTCAACATAAGCCAAGAACATTAAAAAAAATCTTTTGTATTAGTAGGCCTAAAAGTACAAAGCTCAGATTCTATGAATGTTTAAATAAAATTGGATAAATATACATACACTTGGTATGGGAATGACCTGCCTCTGGTCATCCTGAGGAAAAAGAAAAAAAAAAATCATTGTCAGGTTTGAAGAGTAGATCATATACTCAGAAGAAACTTCAAAGCACTCTTGAGTACAGCAGCCATATGATTTCCTGTTCTCTATACTTTGGCAATATTTAATGAACAGGAGGAACCCAAAGATTTTCCACAGTTAGGGCACTGGGCTCCACTCTGCCTCCCAGTTCCCCCTCTCTGACAAACCAGGCTGGGTTCCCGAGGCTCATTAATCTTCTTGTTTATTTAAATAGTGCCTCCCTTACTCCCAGGAATTTAAACTGAAAACCCATACATCACTTTGATCCCTGAATCCCTCTGATAACTGGCTTGTTTCTTCTTTTAAGTAAGTTTTTCCCCAAAAACACTATGCCTTAAGTCAATACAATATGCAGGGAAAGGAAGACAATTTCATCAGATTACAAGGAACTCCATGGTCACTCCTGATCCTCTTCGAGGGGAGGACTGGGCAGAGGGGACAAGGCAAGGTACAAGAAGTTCCCTCTGAGGCCACAGACATGGGGACAGTTGTCCCTTTAAGGGGAACAGAACCTGTACTCACAGGGAGTGTTAAGAAAATTCAGGCCCCAAGGAAGGGCCTCAGCCATTCCTCAGCCCTGGAATGCCAGCCATTCCAAACCTGGCTGATGGAAACACTTCATTTTAGCACCATTAAGAAATGCTAATAAAAGAACAAATTTATTTCCATTGAGCATTTCCAGTTTCTGTGTTTCTTTTTCTTCTTTTTTAGATGGTGGGATGCGAGGCAATGAACAGCAGCATCGTGGTTCCTCATAAGGAGATGCACCGTTTCAAGGTCTCCCACATTGAAGGATTTGTGAAAAACATATCCGTCTTTATTGAGGGGATCACTGGTGACAGGGTCTCATGGGAAGGGGCCAAATCTGACTGTCAACAGTAGCAGGTGGCTGGCACCTTTCTGACCCGTACTCTGACTCTCAGAACTATTTCGCAACTTCTTGATTATCTCCAGCTCCCAGTCACCACCTCTGCAGTATAACAACTGTTGTTTCCCCTTGAGATGATCTTGATGGCTCTTTCCTTTTCCAGGACACTTGGGGATTTTCTTAAGGATTCTAACCTGCCTTCTGCCATTATTCAAGGCAGAGCTGTGCTGCTCTCCAATATAACAGCGCAATCAAATCAAATCCCAGTTTTTAAGAACTTAGGTGAAGAAGTTCATTTCAGAAGCTCTTAAAAAATATTATTCCCAACATCTGGGAGGTCACTGCCCTAGGTGGGGGAGATTTTAACCAGAAGCTCACAAGCCCATTGGGTCCCCGTAGAGTTTCTCAACCCCAGCACTATCGACATTCTGGGCCTGATAACTCTGTGTTGTGAGGGGCTGTCCTGTGCATTGTAGGGTGCTTAACAGTAACCCTGGCCTCTACCCACTAGATGCCAGTAGAATCCCTAGTAGTGACAACCAAAATTGTCTCCAGACATTGCCAAATGTTCCCTGACAAAATGCAGACTATGACCAAAGGTGCTACTCTAGACAGATATTTGCGCTTGAAACTTACCTTAGAGGTTCACATGTGTGTGTGTATACGTGGGGTATGCATGTGTGAGTGAGTGTCCAGCAATCCCTTTTACTGTGTCCTCACCCTTAGAGGTCCTCCATGGTCTCTGCCATTGGGTCTTCTCGGTGCTGACTCCTCCTAGGCTCTGGCCAGGGGCTGCAGACACTTTTATTTTGGACAACTGGCCTGCAGGTCTAGGTTGTAACTGTGATAGTGGCAATGGCTGCCACCCAAGGCCACTGCTGCTGAAGCATTTCTCCAGAGCAAAGTAAATACGCAGGGCGCATAGAACCCTAGAGGCCATCTGTTGCATTCTGTCCACAGCCTTCCCTCTTCCTCTGGCATGCTGAGTTCCAAGAGGCAGGGAGAGCTGGGGAGTCAGCAGTAGAGACAGGTCTAGAATCTGCTTTCAAATCTAACTGGCCTGGGCTTTGTGTTCCACTTGTCCTGACCAAGCTGAGTACAAAGGGCAGAGGGTCCTCCTCTGGGAATTAGCTGCCTTACTTGGACATGGGCTCTTTCAATGGGGTCTGGTCTCACAGACTGAATAGTCAAGTGTTATGCAGATGATGCATTACTCAGAGTCAACTTAATTCTTTAAAAAGCCATTTTGACAAATGCTAACTGAAGGAAGTCCATGAATGAACACTAAGCCCAGGTGAGCTCAGCTCTGCCAGAAGAACTGCCTTTAAAGACCTTTATTCTCTGAGACATACAGCTAAGCACTCCAGGAAACCTTCCAGGGGTGTAACACCATTTTCTCATGTCATTCCATCTAGGCAGATAATATTTTTAAATAACTTACTGTGACAGCAGTGATTCTTCCCTTTTTTTATCCTCTATAGGCCTAGGGTACAAACTATGTTCCCTTTACTAACGGTGATGCTCTACAGCAATGATTTTTAAATTGGGGTAGGGAGAGTACGAGGAAAGCACACTGAGGGGAGATATCAGAATGTGGGGCTCCGACAGCGTTTACAGTGGAATCTTATCACACAAATTCCACTGAAATAATTTTTCTACACCAATGTAGAGTAACATTTAACATCTGTTTAAGGCAAGTCATCTTTCATTATTTTTTTTCCAAAAATTTCTCAGCTATTCGTAGAAATTTTTTGTTCTATATAAATTTTAAGTCTTTCTAAACAGAACCACAGCACATTTCTACATAAATAAGAGCCACTATATCAAAACCTTTCAATGATTCTATTTTTTTGGTAGTATTTTGAGTTTTCTATGTAAATAAACATGTCATCTGCAAATAAAACCAATTTTGCATCTTTTCCATATTTATACAAATGGTTTCATTTTCTTGTCTTATTACATTAGCCAGAAACTGCCAACGATTTTTGTACGTAGTTTGCTGTTTATTTTTAGAAGACAGCTTTTTACCATGTTTAAATGGTTTTCTTCTATGTATTTGACTGTACCGTTGATTGGTATATAAAAGTTTATGGCTATTATACACTTCATGTATTAGAACTTTTATCATTATAAAATGTCCCTCTTCCTCCTGTTAATGATTTTGGCCTTGAACTCTGTTTTGTCTGATATTAACATTGCCATTTTTGTTTTCTTTTTATTTAATCTGCTTCATACATTTTGCCCATCTCTTTATTTTCTAATTTTTCCATCTCTGTATGTTACATGTTGGGTCAGAAACTATTAGGCACCTACTATACTAGTCATTAGCACTGTTCACCAAATGATTCCAGTTTTCTTTCTGGGCACATGGTAGGATTACACTTCCATGCCCCTCGAAGTTAGGTGTAGTCATGTGAATTGCTTTGGCCAATAAAATGTAAGTTGAAATGAGGCGTTACTTCTGAGTGAAAACTTTAAGAGCCAGTGTGATTCACCACATTTCCTTTTTCCTGTTGTGACAATCATGGAAGCAAAGAGATGGGGCCTTCCTCAGTCTAGATTCATGAATGAGGATAAGATAGAGTTATGCAGTCCAATAATTGTAGCCATTAGTCACATGCGGCTAATGAGCACGTGAAATGTGGCTAGTCCAAACGAAGATATGCTATAAGTGTAAAATACGTATTAGATTTTCAGGAATTAGTAAGATAAAAAGAATGTAAATTTTATCTCATTGATAATTTTTTCTATTGATTACATGTTGAAATAATATTTTGGATATATTGGGTTAAATAAAATATATTATTAAAATTAATTTCATCTTTTAAAAAATATTTTTAAAAATGAGGTTACTAGGAAAATTTAAATTACATATAATTTAAAGCTCACATTATATTTCTATTGGGCAGTGCCACAGAACAGAGGGCCTACCTAACCTATGACAAACATGTAGCATGAGTGAAGAATAAACTTTTATTGTTTAAGCCTCTGAGGTTTTGGGGTTGCTACTGCAGTATAACTGAACCCACACTGACTAGTACATCTACTCAGTAGTCACTTCTCTTTTCCCCTTTGTGAAAAGAGCTCCAATTTTGTTGAGGGCAGGAATAAGTTGGTCTAAATTCTTCCCCTTTTGGGCCTCCCTTGTTGCTGCAGGGTAGCCATGTGACAAAGTTCTCTCCAATAAGACACAAGCAGAAGTCTCCAGGGTTTTCTGTGAAAGCATTTACTTTCTGTAAAAGGGACAGACATGGCTAGTGCTACTCCTACCTCTCTTCTCTTAAATGTGGATATGATATCTGAAGCTGGTGACTTTCAGATAATAAACAAGCATGAGGATGAAGGTAAACATGCCAAGGATGGTGGAGCAGAAAGATGGAAAGACAGAAGAACAGAAAGAGTCTGGGTCACTGATGGCATCGTCAGGCATCTATACTAACCCTAGTAACTTCCAGACTCAGGTTTTTTATGTGAGAAAAATAACCTCTTGTTTGTTTAAGCTATTATTTCAGTCAGTTTCTTTACTTGCTGCCAAATCATTCCTATCTGGTACAGGTATATTCTTGGAAACAGCAGACAGCTGAATTTGTCAAGCCAATCTGATACAGTCTTGGTCTTTTGTTAGGAGAATTTAGTTCATTAAACTTGGTTTTATGCCTATTTTTTACGTTAGGTTTACTATTTATTATGTTACTTGTTCTATTCTTCTTTCCTTAATTTTGATGGCTTGTTCACATTTCTGTTTATTTCCCCTTTCACTCTCTGTAATTTTTAAGGACCTATTTTCTAATTAGTAATTAGTGTTACTTGTGACAGTTCTATTCCTAATAGTCACATTTATTCCTATATTTTCTATAATTATATCATAACTGAACACCAATCTCACCTAGATTTTTTTTGCCCCCTCTCTGAATCACTACATATCTGAAACTGTACTTCTTTTGTCTTAATAGATAAATGATATCTTGGTCACATACGGAATTTTTGGTTTGTAATTCTTTTCTCACAGGAGCCCTTAAACATTTCTCCATGGTCTTCTGGTTCTCAGTATTGCTGATGAGAAGTCTAGTATGAGTATAATTCTCTTTTCTTTGAAAATAACTTGTTCTGGTCGCTTGTAATATTTTCTCTTTATACTTACATTTCTGAATTTCAACTGCATATATCTAGGCATGTGCTCCCCCATTTACCCCACTAATCCTGCTGCAGACTTGGTAAGCCTTCTCAATCTGCACATTTAAGCTTTTATTCAGGCCAAGAAAAATTTTTTATATTACTTTTTCTCTTTCTGGAACTCCTGTTATTTGAACGTTAGGTCTCCTAGATGCCTCTTCCCCCCCCACACAATTACCATCTCTGTGTTTCTGGTTTGAATTGTAAGATATTTCTTCCACTTGCTCTTCCAGATTAATTCAGTCTTCAGCAGTGACCTTTCTCATTCTCCTTGTTCTCAGTTTGTTTACTGAATTTTTATATTTAGAAATCATGGGATTTTTTTTTAAGTTCTGAAGTTACTTTTGTACTCAAAATTCATTTCCCGAACTATCAAAGTTCTCTTCTATCTCTTCCATTAATTTCACCTCAGTAGGAGTCTCATATTCTAATTTTCCAACTTGGACTTTCTCAGCAGTGGCAAATGAGGGAGCACAGCAAGGCCCAGCAAGGAGTGCTGTTTTCCTGGTCCAGCAGAGCCCAGACTGACAAACCAGAGAGAGACGAAGAAAGTCCCTGTACTACTGGGCTCCTCCAGGGCACAAGAACTGAAAGCAAGTCAGCTCATCAGTGCAGCCCCTCCAAGGAGCACACACATCCAGCGGGCAGTGCAGGCCCTTTCCACGGCTCCTGCTGGCTGCTGACCTCACAGGACTGCACATTTCAAGTCTTTGTCCTACGACTCCAAGAGAGGTAAGCGTTTTCCTCTGTTGGTGGTTCCCTGCTTCTCACTGAGTACCAGAGAGCATGAATCCTGTGCCTCCTCTCTCCCCTGGAGATGTCAGGAAAACTGGAGGCCTTAATGCACTTTCCAGGCTCCACCAGCAGGCTCACCCGGGTTTATCCAGAGAGTGAAATGAAATGGTCAGAGCTATGTGCTCAGGCTGTCATCTTCCCAGAATCCTCCTGTTTACATTTGTACGTTCTTTTAAAATAATTTATTTACTAATCACAAAAGTAATTTAAGCTTACTTTGTAAAAATTGGGAAAAGAAAAAAGAAAAAAAGAGAAAGAAATAATGCACAGAGGAGAGGAGAAAATCCTACGTACAATCCCATCAGTCTGAGACAATCTCTTCATATTTGGCATACATCATTCTAGTCTTATAAACGCTTGTGGGTGTGTGTCTGACTATACACATACTTATAAATATACTACCTACTATATTTTAGCCTTTTTTCCCCAAATAACATATTGTGAACACTTCCTTATATCAGTAATATTTATGAGATGTCATTTTTAATAGCTGCATACTGTTTGATTGTATGGTTATTCTATAGGTCTTTTATTATCTATTGTTAATCATCAGGTTGCTTACAATTTTGCAATATTATAATCTATGCTTGATAGTATCTTATGGTTAAATCTTTCACATCCATAGTTATGTCAATAAGGTGGAACTGCTTGGGTGAACAAATAGGCATATTTTTAAGGCCTTAAGACCATATTGCCAAATTTCCCTCTGGAAAGGTGTAACACTCCTACCAATAATCAATTTACATCCTCTCCCTCCTTCTCACTATCCCCATGCCAAACCCAAATGTTACCTTTAAAAATATCTTTGATAATTTGATAGATAGAAAAGGATATCTCATTGTTTTAGTTTGCATTTCCTTGATTACTTACCACACTGAACATTTTTTCACGTTTATTGACCAATTGTTTCACGTTTATTGACCAATTGTATTTCCTATTTCGTAAAATGCCTGTTCACGTCCTTTGCTCACATTATTTGGGACATAAAGTTTTATGACTTTTATGTTCTCCGTCTTGACAATCTTCATAATGAATAATCCCCTTTGTCTCTCTCAGTGGTTTTCACCTGAAATTCTATTTTGACTGAGATTAATATTCTAACCTCTGCTTGCTTGCTTTTTTTTTTTTTTGGTGAGGGAGATCAGCCCTGAGCTAACATCCGATGCCAATCCTCCTCTTTTTTGCTGAGGAAGATGGGCCCTGGGCTAACATCAGTGCCCATCTTCCTCTACTTTATATGGGACGCCGCCACAGCATGGCTTTGACAAGCGGTGCGTCGGTGCGCCCGGGGATCCAAACCCGCAAACCCGCAAACCCTGGCCCGCGGAAGTGGAGCATGTGCACTTAACCGCTTGCGCCACCGGGCCGGCCCCACCTCCGCTTTCTTTTTGCTTATACTTGTGTGATGTCTTTCTGCTCATCCTTTTAAACTGTTCTGAGTCACTTTGTTTTGGACACGTCTGTTAGGCAGCACGTGGGTAGAATTTGTTTTTTTTTTTTTTTACCTATCGTGACGATCTGCCTTAAAATTTTTCATTTGATACATACAGAAGAATATATAACAAATGTGTTTGTTATTAAACGAAGTAGTTAAATCCATTTAATTTATTATTGGCTCTTTTCCACGTCTCTGTTTCTCCTTTTGTCATTCCATTTCTTAGTCTGCTACTGGTTCTTTAACTCTTATTTCATGCATTCAACTTCCTAAGAGAGAATTATAAAAATGTGAAGTGACTCTCATAACTCTCGTCAAATACGTTCTTTAGTTGCTAAATGGGAACGATTGAGATAGTCTTTAACAAAAATGATGACTGTTTTGGTAATTTCAAATCTTTAAGTAAACGGCTGCACACATACTGTTTAGAATCACGAAGGATATTTATCAAGGATGGGGCAGATATGCAGCGACTGCAGTTTTGCTGAGTGCACAGTTCCCCATCAGAACTGACCTTCTGAAGCCCACCATTCTCCTCCACCAGTGGTGGAAGCACACTGGGGCTGCTGGCTGGCGGGGCCTCCACATTATAGTCACGGAAGCAGCAGAAGAGGGAGCTGAGGATGCTGCGGCTCCTCTGCTTCTTTAAGCTGACGTTGCACTGGGATGCTGGAAAGAGAAACAGAGCACACTGTGGCCAAGCGCAGCACGGACTCATAGTTGTAATGCAACAGGAAAACTCGAATATGCAGTGGCTCCCCAGAGCCCTGATACCAGGAGACCTACCACACCAGATGAGAAGATGAGGGGCCCCAGGAAGTTACTCCAAAGGATTATTATTCACCATGTGAATCCTAGAGGGTCAGCTGGTCGATGGAGTACAATCCTGCTGGCTGGACAGAATTCCTCTGACCTCAGCCCAGTGGGGGCTGCTTGCTCATTAACTGACCCATCCTCAGGGTCAGGCACCATTTGCATTCCTGAACCCAGCAGATAGTCTTTTGACTCTGCACTAAGCACTACTTCAAAACAAAGATCCTTTCAGGCACAAATCAGACTTGACACTCTCTGAGAAGTATTTCTCTGTTAAGGGTATCAAGAAAGAGTCACACTGAAACTAGGTTCTTGGACACTCTCTGTTCATCATGGAAATGACTAATTTCATGGGATAAGAAATAAGATGTGTAAGGGCACAAAGATGCCCCCTTCCTAAACTCTGCCATTTATCAAGAAATTGACGGGAGCCTGGACCCACAGAGCTCAGGGCTGAAGACTTCCATTACACTTAAAACATAAACAGCAGGAGATGTAGGCCATGCTTGGCCTGAGCAGGGATGGCCAGGGCAAAGCCCATCTTTATGAGACCCAGGGCAATACCGTGCCATGGACTCATTCCCTGGCCTGGCCTATTCTAAGGCTCCAGAGGGAGTAATGGATCCTTTCTGTTATCCAGGGTTTAAGACAAGCTGCCACAAGTCAGAAATAAAATGCAAAAACTAGTATAGATAAAAACCACCTCAGGGGAGGAGACTGACAACTTGGAGGGGCAGGAGCATTTTGTGTGGGAATGCAGCCCGGGCTGTCCCACCACATACCATGTCTGGGTGTGTCAGCAGTGCTCTAAGTAGAAGCCATAGGCGAAGGGACCATGCTTAGGGTTAATGGGAAAATCACCAACGTAGGCAATGATTAAGTCCCTATGATAAATGCTGGAGTTTCTCTTCCAAAAAGTAATTCTGGCACGATTTCTCTTTTTGTACACTTGAGTGAATCGTACAGCACCTTCACTCTCAAGAGATCACAAAACCTTTGCTAAAAGTCTTGCGGTTCTCTTCTGCTGGTAGCAAAACCTAATGCATTCAGATGGAAATTCTGAAAAAGGATTGAAAAACTATTTTGCCAGCAACTCCACAGGCACGGATGGTTTCTAGCCTGGATTGGGGCAAATGGCCCAGTAAGTGTGAATTTAAGATCCTCATTCACTAAAAATGAGCTTTGGAATCATAAATCCCTGGGCCAGAGGGACTACCAGGCACAGAGGCCTTCTAAGCAGCAGTGATGGGAAGCAATAATGTTTACCACCCACTGTTTACTGAGGGCCAGCCTTCTATATTCCAGTACTTTACAATCCTCATCTCATGTAATCCTCACAGCTACCCAAGGAGATAGGTGTTACTGCTTCCATCTTATTGCTGAGAAAATACAACTGGTAATTGCGAGCGCCAGGATTCGAAACCAAGTGGGCCTGCTTCCAAAGTGTGTGTTTTCTCCATGCCATGCTGAAGACAATCTTGAAACAACTTAAGTCAGATTAAGAAGGAGGGAATATGCCAAATGGAGAGAAAAGCACGGCAATAAACTCATATTTTTAAACTGTTTTGTTACTTTGGGTGTTTTGGTTTTTATGCCACACTCAAATAATTTAGTCAAGAGGAGGAAAAAACTGTCTCTTCCCCGGCTGATAGCACGTTTCTCTGCAAGTAAACAAGCTATTTGTTAATGCCTCGGAGACACTGAGCAGTCAATATCCAGGCTGGGCAGTAAACAGCTCTGCAAAAGCACCTTCCTAGTTCACATTTTCATCCTTGGATCACATAAATCTTCCCCACAACTAACAAATTAACTAACTTATATGCTAAAAAAAATCCTAACCCTGGAGCCAGTGAGCTACTTATAATTTCCACCATATGATTACTTACTATGTAGGAGCCACAAATAGAGCTGTGGGAGTCACAAATCAGCTTGAGTCACTTGGGAGGCCATCACCCCCTGATGGGGAAACTGTAGTTTGCTCAGGTTCTCCCTTCTCTGTATGAAGAGGTGAAGCAGCCCAAGGGTGCGGAAGGATCCAGGCCTCTTCCTGCTAAATAAGATTAGCTCTAGGGACTGCAGGGACCCGGGGCTTTCTAACTTTCTGAACACTCTGGGATTGGTCTGGGGTTCTCAAAATTAGGCTAGCCAGGATAACAGATGGACTTCCTCAGGACCAGCATTAGCCTCACCCCACCCTCGCACTCATTTGTTCCTGAAAGGGCTCAAGATGTGGGCTGTCTGGGTCTAATGACCCTACTGCCTTCCACCCCCGCTGCTGCCTCTCCTCCAGCTGCAAGCCAGAAGGCCTCTGCTTTACTCATAACCTGTCTGGTAAATGGGTTTTGGTTGATACATGAAATTAAAATCCATAGTTTAATGAACAAATGTTTATATTATAACATTAGATTAAAAAAACCAGATAAATAATAGTATATCTGACTTGATCATAATTGTGCAAAACAAAATTAAAAGAGATTATAATAGAGAAAGGATTGGCAAAAATATGTCAAAATGTTAACAGTAAGTAACAGACTATGGGTGTTTACATTTCTTCCTTCTATATTTTCCAAATGTTTTATGGTAATGATATATTACTCCAACAATGGAGAAAAGCAAATAGTCTTGTTTAGCTTTCTTTCAGCAACTTTGTAAAGATCAGGAGAAACCGTATCCTACTTTTAAACTTGAAGCTTTAGACTTACTCCCCTGCTTTTCCGCTCCACGCCTGTGAAGTGAAAACCAGGCAACAGCAGTGCTGTAAGCATCCTCCCGATGCCTCCAGGAGCCTCTCTCTCAGCATGTTCACATGGGGCTCAGCATCCCCCTCTCCACCCAGAGCACTGATCTCCTGGTCTCAACATCTACCCTTCTCTCTCTCAGTAAGGTGTTGGTTCTGATATCCTTAACAGCTCTTAAATCTGTCCTCAACAATTCCCTGATCCTATCACGTCCCCGCTGAGGCCCTCATCATTTTGTCCCTGGACAACTACAGTAGCTTCTTGACTTGTTTCCCTGCTGCTGATTTTGTATCCTGTAATTAATTATCGACATGACCCACCTAGGTGAAGCCTAGCAAGTGAGTAGACTGTTTCATGGTTATGAATGTGGGCTCTGAAGTCAACTTCCCTGGATGTAGAATGCTGGCTCGACCAGCAATAGCACAGGACCTAGGTTAAGTTACGCGACTTCTTCATGCTTCAATTTCCTTATCAGTAAAATGGGGATAACAAAGGTACTCATCTTATAGGCTTGTTGTGAGAATTAAATGAGTTATTACAAAGCACTCAGAGCAGTGCCTAGAACAGTGTAAGCACCTGATAAATGCTAGCTCTTATTATTATCATTAGTTTCTTAAAAGCTCTTGCTTCCTAAAAGAGTGGGGTTCTGCCAGTAAATCCTGGATCAAAGGCTGGATTCTGTGGGTATGCAATTTTTCCCCGGCATCTGACAACTAGGAGGCATAACTTACTATAACAGATCTTGGTTACATAAACTGTAATTTAGAAAGCAAAACTAGAAAAATCTCAGGAAGCGATTCTACTCAGTTGCTCTAAAAACTGGATGCAGAGATGAGGAAACAAAAGGGAGTGGTTAAGTGTCCAAATGAGCTCTGCTGGGGGCTGTTTATCTGGTTTCTCTTAGAAAAAGACCGATTTCAAGTTGAGGGGAGGAAGCAGCCACTCTCTCTCCCGGACACCCTTACTCAACTCCTTCTGGGGCTGCAGCTTAACTCTCTCCCTGCTGAGCACTGCTCCTGCCCAGTCTACATCTGACCTAACATCTCCTTGCCTCAAGCTGTGCATCCAAAAGGAGCATCCTCCCACGTTAGGAGGACACTACACGAGGAGCACACGAGGAGGCTAACAGACCTGTCCCGGGTCTCTCCTGCAGGCTCCCCTACTGGGCCATTATATGCTACTATTTCCCCAAGGCTCTGGCAGCATAGGCCCCTCTTTCTCTTCCTTAGCCCTGCTAATGAAGATATGCTCATGGCTGGTCTCAGGAGCTGCCCTTCTTTCCACACAGATGGTTGGGCCATGGGCATGGCCATCCCACAGGATGAGTAAAGGGAGATCCCTGGCAGGGGCAGATGGGGTGATTCTAAGACTTAACTTTTTCCATTTCTTTGAGCAGCCCTGGGTGGGGCAGAAATCCTGGGAAGGGTTGTGAAGAGCTGGAGATGTTGGGCATGGGTTTCATCCATTCCCCCTGTGCCCTCTGACAACTGCAGGAAGTGTGTGACACTGAGGACAAATAGGTACATGGCTCTGTTTTCCTGGAAACACCCTGTGAGCTAATGCTTCTATCTAGGCTCCTGGACTTTGTGTCATTGCAGCCAGCAAATGAAGACACTGCTTCCTACTCATATACATTCCTCCTCTTTCTCTTCCCAGGGCAGGAGACCTCCCCAGCCTCCAGCACAGCAAAAGAAGGTCTTAGAGAGGGTCTATGAATGGGGCGGCTGAAAGGGGATGCAAGATAGTTGCCTTCCTTGAGTCCTCAATCCTAAAGGCAAAAGGGAAGCCTCCTAAACACTTCCCTGGTCTCTTTGGGCAGAGTGCTCACGCAGTAGCAAGAACCAGTATCTTCAAAGCACTAGCTACCGATACGGAGTGTCTGCCAGAATTCATTACCTTTCTTTCTGGTAAAACTGCCTCAATTTTTCTCTAGAGAACCAAATGCACCCCAGCAACTTTCAGTCCATTACCAAGGCCTGGCCAATCAGAGTCACATGACTGGCTTAGGAATGGGCACATGACCCAACCTGAGTCAAGGAGAGTCTGCCCCAGGATTCAAGCACCAGCTACTGGAAGAGATATTCTCTTCTGCTGGTTTGCTAAGCTGGTAGGATGTAA